GGAGAGGCTCTTTCCTGGGTCGTGGAACTGTCTACGCGTTGAAGTCTCCAGTTGGCTATTCGCCCAATCAGGTAATGTGCACTCTACAGGCAAATTTAGTATGTCTCTCGTTTTTTTTTTTTTTTTGGTTTTTTGTTTGTTTGACATGTTCAGCACAGATGCCAGGTCACTTGAACGCCTCCCTCCCCCCTCCACAATTTTTTGAGGCTCTTTCCTGGGTCGTGGAACTGTCTACGTGTTGAAGTCTCCAGTTGGCTATTCGCCCAATCAAGTAATGTGCACTGTACAGGCAAATTTAGTATGTCTCTCGTTTTTTGTTTTTTTTGTTTGTTTGACATGTTCAGCACAGATGCCAGGTCACTTGAACGCCTCCCTCCCCCCTCCACAATTTTTTGTTACATTAGGGGAACTGTGCGCCTCCCCCACCCCACTCCCAATAATTTGTTATAGGGAAAAAAGACCCCTGTTACACATTATAGAAAATCTGGTAAATTTTACACTGGTCTCCCCATTTACACACCACTACACACTAGCTCGCTTTTGATTAAACGACCTACTGACCACCTCACTTCTGATAAGTCGGCCTCGTGCGATCCGACTTTTACACAAGGTCACAGGGCGATTCCGCACTCGCCCTCATATATTGTATATTTTACCATGCCAGAGCTTTTAACACTTCTAAAACATTTAGATACTGGGTCTAACACACAACCCCTTTAGAGAGTGACAAAACCTATGTCACATACCGTCTCTTTCTCGGAAATAAAAACGTAAATGCCAGACAATAACAGACTGCGACACCCATAACCTCGACCACGGTAGACTAGTCCAACCAACTTTTCAATGGAGTTGACCTATAACCGGTGGTGTCTAAATGGGGAGACCATCATATAAATAACCGAAAATTTCTTCAAAAGTATTTTGTTTTATACATTTCGTATTATTTCAAGCTAGTCTTTTATTTATAATGATAGTAATGTGTTGAATGACAAATACAATCATAAAAATGGAATATAGGATATGGAATCTTAGAACTCAGGCACTTGACGCGGCCCTCCCCCCCCCCCCCCGAAACACACACCTGGCAGTTTTTAGGGAGCACACCCCTTTCCTCTTCCCCCACCAGATCAGCAGTAGAAGAAGGGTCAGGCGATGACCGGCTGTAGAAGGTCATGGTCAGACTGGGATATATTGACTGGTGTTCAGTGATTTGGAGGACAAATTCGTCAGTATCTTCTACTTGTTAGCATTCACCGGTTGTAAACTCTGGCGGAAAGTTCTGGTTGCCCGTTCACTTCTGGGCTTTAGTCTTCTTTCAGCACTGAGCTTTGCATGTACATCCGTTTTACTGATGAGGCTTCTTTGTGTACAGACTGGTTGTTCCTCATTGAACTCCGACTTTGAAAAAAATACCATCAATTCTATCTAAGTTGGTCTCAGGAAGGGGAACCTGCCACTAGGATGACCGCAGAAAGTTGTACATAGTCTTGACCAGTTTGAGTCTTGGTGCTGGTCAGTACCGTCTTAATGCATGGGCACGTTGGGCACTGGAACGGGGACCCATGAGCATTGGGGCCCATGTTGATCTTTATATATCTAGTGATCATTTACATTTCATTCTTGCAAGTGGTTGACGTAGGGGCAGGGCACACTGGTTTGCCCAGGGGTCCATAACGTCGTCAAGACGGCTAGGGTCCTGGCACACCACCACTTGTTGTTCGGCACCCCTGCAGCCGATCCCACTTGACAAGACAGTAATTTGAGTTCAGTTCCCAGCAGTGACATAATTAATAATCCTGACCAGCGCGGCTTTAGGTTTTGACGAATCTTATAAATATGGATACGTGATTTTTTTTTTTTTAAATTCAGGGAATTTATGTGGGAGCAAAAAAGGCGACACCAGTATGGTGTAATCCAAATTATGAAGCCTAACTCTTTAAACAACTGAAATACAACTAAAATACCTGCTATGGGACTACCAAAAAATTGCCAGTAAAATTTAAAAAGAAAGAAAGAAAAAAGGACAAAAATAACTTACTGTGTTTTATCTTTGAATTCATGGGATTAAAGGATTATCGGAGCCTCGAAATAAAAAAAAAATCAATTGCTCTTATGCATATTTCTGTATCTTTTTACTGGGTATGTACAGCATCGACATAGTAAGAACACGAGCTGTAGTTTTCGCACTGATGTGTGATTTCTGTCCTGTTGGATGTGATGTCGACTTAACGTCATTTGACATTTCTCGTTTCTACTTCTCCGACAGCAAAACTTGATATTGCCAGTTAGTGTTTGTTTTTAGCACGAATGTTGTTAAATACTGTTTTATATTTACAGTTAACATTGGTTATTTGCTGTGGTTTTTGGAAGAATATCCTCTTTAATCCGGGTTGAGAGATTTTGCATTGTTTCAGATTTTGTTATTACCAGTTCCGGATAAAGTTGTAGCGTGTGTAACATACAGCTCGTGTGTTTTATTCGTTTTTGTTTGAGAGGGTTTGGCGTCTAAACTAGATAGATTCGGATCTTGTGTAACTTCAATCTAATTTTTTTTTAGTGTATTGAGTAGCGCAGCCTAGGACTGCGTTTCCATTCGATAACTCGATTTTTTATTGAATGACTCACCAGTTTTGATGATTTATCGTCAGATTTCTTTACTTTAGAGAATGCCTATATTTTAAGATTTAATTCACTTAGCCATGCCGACACGCCCATGAATCTAATCAAGGGACTTGCGACTGATAATTTTGTTAGTATTTTATGATTTGTGAAGCAACATTGTCAACTGTATGCCAACAGAGACGCAACGTGGCCTGTTCCACTTCAATAAAGACAAAGCTGAGTGGTAAAGTAACAAGTAAAGATCCCTTTTCCACGCCTTTAGACGTATTGGGCATATAAGGCAAGACCTATATTTTATAGACCAATTGGCCCTTGGTGGGTGATGTGGTTTGAATCATACCGGCCGCCTTTACTTCTCAGGACTGCACCTGGTACCCATATAAGCTTACTGACAGAAGGATCTAAGAAGAAGAAGAAGAAGAAGAAGAAGAAGAAGAAGAAGAAGAAGAAGAAGAAGAAGAAGAAGAAGATGATGAAAGAAGAAGAAGAAATAGAAGAATATTGTTAAAGACTCCAGGCACTACACTTGGGACATGGTGCTCGGTCTCTCCTGACAGAAGTGGAAGGGTGTGTATGCTGATTATCCATGCTGCCCATTGGTTAGTTGCGTGTCAGAACCGTTCTTGTCTGTAGCCTTTGAGATCTGTACTTACAATCTTCAAATATTTAATTTCCCAGGTGAATTTAGAGGCTACATCTTTCATCTCTGATGTGATTGTTGAAGCTAAAATAAAGCATGTCGACTGCGCGGTAATTTTTACAGTTAAAACCCTATCTCTTCTCTCTCTCTCTCTCTCTCTCTCTCTCTCTCTCTCTCTCTCTCTCTCTCTCTCTCTCTCTCTCTCTCTCTAAAGTAAGCCAAAATAGAATCTGTCATATCCGAGGTGATTTTCAAAACTAGAATACATCTGAATGACTTAATTTTAAAATGTATCATCTCACCTCCGCGGTGATATTCGAAGCAAAAAATAAAACATTTCATCTCCGCGGCAATGAGTGTGCGGTCAAACTCCACTAGGACATTTCACTGAGCGATCAGCACCCCGTAAAGACAAAGTGCAAGGCGTCACTATTCGGATGTGAATTCCCTAGGTACTCGTTCAACTATAAGGTTATATTGGGACCCACGACGATTATAAAGTAACCTGAACTCCAGGCAGGGTAGGGCGGCGATTGATGTCATTTAACGCCGTGATTTTCAAAGCTAGATTATGACATCTAATCTCCCATGTCATTTTGAAGGTAACACGTATCATACATGTATCGTGACCTTTGAATTATAATTAGAATAAATTTCTTATCTCTGATGTGTTTTAAACTAGTAAACAGTCTGCTTTCTTCACCTGCATTACGAGGACATTAGATGGACACACCTTCCAACGAATGTGTACTCACAAGAGCAAAAATACCATCAATGTACTGTCTACTGAAGGTATTGTGAACGGCACTCATAGAAAGAAGTAGAAAGACACTGGTATCAGGGGGTCGACCGTCCAAAAAGCAATGGCAAACTACTGGACGTAAATTTGAGTAGAGACACCACACAACAGCCAGGGGCTGCTGGGGTTGGTTCTGCAACGTCATGTAAAGGATACGCAACTAACCAATGTGACAGAGACTGCCACTCTCGCATCGGACTCTACAGTCACAGCAGATGCTGCTCCCAAAGCCAGCAGCACATCTTCATAGTCCTCAGGGACTGACGGATGTCATTACAGATGAACACAAGTCCACTAATAACTTATAACCTCAACTCATTTCTGGATTTAGGTATATGCTAACCAAGCTGCTGTTTGAGGCCTAGCAAGTCTAAAAGGCCCTCATAAAATTTATATTTTGTTGTTCACAAATGCAATTTTCTTTTAATAGAGGAATTATATAATATAATTTATGTGATTTTACATACACATTTTTATTATTTCGTTTACTAAAAATTAAACGACAATATATTTTCATCATCCGCATATTTAAAAGGCATATGTATTTTAAAGTTTTCAGAGATTAGCTGATGTAATTTAAAACAGTAGGGGCCTCGAGACTTTTTATATCTTATGGCCTAATCAAGTCTAAGCTGGGCTCTGCATCAATTGCCCTTTTTCTTCTTCTCTTCCACCTTGTACCTCATCGAAGTGTCGGGGGGAGATGTAACATTCGTTGATATGCTCTGTCAAGAGCACTATTAGGACATGTTCATTTCTGTAAGGCTGTTCCTAATGCCAGCACTCCATGTTTTCCGAGGTCTTCCACTCGCTCTATACCCCTTGTAACGTTTTAGTGTGGCTCGCTGTGGTAGAAAACCACTTCATTCACATGTAGTAAATTTTTCTAGTGTACATGTTACTTTTTGATAGATTTTCAAACAGTTGATTTTAAAAACAATGGCTGGCGTGGCTGCAGTACAGTCGGTGGTTCTACTGCTGATATCTGCGATGTTGACAAACAAAGTGAGCACCAAGATCATCGATGACCGTTTCCTGTCCGACGTTAACCTGGAGCACTATTACGTCATCGAAGAGAACGCCCTGAGCAATGCTAATGTTTTACTCAGAGATGATTATTTCGGCGCAGACGAGGAGGAGTTGGAAGAGGACCATGAAAAACATACGCCAAACTTGACCAGTTTTATCAGGTATTCCGTATTTTTTTTAAATTCCACCTTTTAATGTGTTATTTTCCCGAACTCATTCTTCATCTTTATTCTTCACGTTTACCGGCTGTAAACTCGATCAGAAAGTTTTTTTTTTTTTTGGTCCACTTTTGGACTTGAGTCTCGATCCAGAACTTGAATGTTGCGTTTATACCCGTTTTACAGATCAGGCTTATTTGTATGCAGACTGTTGGTTCCTTACCTCTCAGACACTCTCTAGCCGACTCCAACGACATGCCTGTTGGAGAGGCAGTGTGTGTATTCTTGTTTTCTCCGCCATTTGGACCCGGAACTCCCAAGGGAAACAACTCCTACCAAGCAACTTGTCATGTATTTATGGATAAATCTTACATGACAGACTTTAAAAAAAAAAAAAAAAAATCCAGTCCAAAGATCCCCTCTCTATCCTAATTATTACTTTAACTGTTTATGTTTAATACAGTGGTTACATATGTAATCGTTTAGAACCCAAATTTATTAGCTAAAAGCAACAGCTCATTTGGAAGTAATGTTTGGTACTTGAAGAGCTGACTAAAAATGTGCAAAAGTGTAATCAATAATACAACTGTCATTGTCTTGTAGGATGCAATTTTTAGTTATTTTGAAGCCCCATCCTTTTTTTGCCGGGGACCCTAAATATAGACGGGCCTTAAATATGGCCTAACGGCTAAACGGAGCTTCCACGGGTGATCCTCATCCGCATGGTGGCACTTTGTGTCACCTGGTGTTTATCGCATGTGTGATGTCCTGGCCGGGTACAGCTTACCTACCTACCGACCATCAGCAATGTTCAACGTCATCATCATTGTCATCATCAAGTGCCTACCAGATGACCCAGACTTTACTCTGCAGATCTTAAGCCTTGGTATTCAGAGTGTGTGTCTTGATACTGTTCCTTCCTCTAGCAGGCACCCATAAAAACGGCTTCACTATACCATTTCTTCTGCTGCTTCTCAGTCTTGTATTGCTGTTGTTTTCAGCGGTAACCATTGTTACTCATTGTCTGTCTCCTCAACACATGACCAATGAAGACAGTTCTTGTAGCTGCATACCGTCTTTTTTTTTTCTTTGGTTCAGCATAGACCCTAACCTGGGGGATGCACGCCATTTTGTATTTCTTACTGGCTTTGACATACTTTTTTTTTTTTTAAAATACCTTTATTGTGTTAAGTTTGTTTCATTTTTTTTTTTTTTTTTTTTGCATGTGTACGTTGTACACAAACAACACAAATATGATTATCAGATGGGTAGGCAAAATTCGAGAAGATCTTGACTTTGCTGACGACATAGTGCTTTTGATACCCAGATATCCTAGAGAAAACAGACCATGTCCAAAATGTTTCAGGATAAATTGGTTTCCAAATTGCCACATAGGTGCTGCAGGCTAAGTCATACCTCAGAGTAGCTGCAGACAGGAACACCCTCTGTATGAAGCTTTGGCTGCAGGCAAAAATCAGAGGCTGAAAAGGGGAAATCGTGAATGGCTCAAGCAGCAGACACAATAAGACAAGTATGCATGCTGGAGACATTGGGCTAGTAGAGAAGTGGGTCAGAGTACCAGAGGGAAAGTCTGACCTGTGTAGGGTTATGACAACATTGGGCCGGCTGTGCAAAAGTGGCCAGCGGGTGCTACAGAGGTTGATGTCCAACAGTTGATTCACGACAATTTACACCCAGGTGATCTGATTATCTAAACAGATGGTTTAGTGTTGAGAGGAAAGAGAAGTGCCCGGGGGTTCGTAGCGAAAGCCAATGGGAAATCTTTAGTGCAAGACACCCTAGCATATGACACCACAACGTCTAGCATGAGAATCGAGGTGGAGGCGGTAACTGCGGCTCTCCGGTGGCTAGAGAGCAAGATGCATACACATGTCGTAATTGTAACAGACTCTGAAAGCATGCTGAAAAAGGTGAAGACAGGGATGCTTTGAGCAGAGTGGCGAACTTCACTGGAAAGGTCACGGGTAGTGAACATACTGTGGATCTTTTCTCCAGGCTGTGCCTTCCTGGTAGGCAATGAACAGTCAGATAGATTGGCTGGATCCGCACCACTGGGTGGTGAATTAATACATGACAAAGTAGATGTGGTCGAGGTCCTTTGGGAACAAGCAACGGGATCAGTATAGAAAGAATATTATAATTGCCTAGAGAGCGAATGGGGCACCTGGATATAACTAAAGGGTCTGGCCGGCTGACTACACTTAGAGTAAAGGCAAGACGGGCATTTAACCAGATTGTGACAGGTAGCATCAATATTGGAACTCTACGCTGGCTGCTTAAGACGGGGGCGTAGCATGCATGAGAATGCCCCGAGTGCTGTGATGTCAATTCTTGACTCAACTCAACTCAACTCTTGTTTCTTATTCTTTTCATAATTATTCTCAGTAACATTTATTCGTCGGAGAACTCATAAGACTTATGGTGCTATGGTCGTCACATTTTAAAGTGCCTGATTCCTTTGGCAGTGCAATAAATAGAGATTTGTTATAGATCATTAGGAATGTACTCACCTTTTTTAATTTGATTTAACAATTTTGTTACTATTTCAATTCCAAAATATTCCAAAGCTTCAGTTTCCTTCAACGTTAAGTTGCCTGGCCCGGGTGTCTTTCCCCTTTTTATGTTTTTCCCAACAAGTACCAACATATACATTTCTATCCATCATGTAGCAGGCCCTTTTCAGAACGTCGCTCTCACCACAGTCTGCCTGAAAGAAACTCGGTCTCTCGCCAGTTCTCCCGCCTCATGTACTTTCATACTCAATGAGTCACTTATATCCTGTGCCCATCTTCGTGTCGGTCGGCTCCTGCCCCTCCTTCCTGGTACCATGCCTTCTGCTATAATTTTTCCCAAACCACCGTGGCGCATGATATACATTTATATAGGTTGTGCCAAAACTTTGAAAGATAGGCTAAAGTAAGTGCTGAATAGAAATCCACGCGACTGTCTCGGGGATTGAACGGATTATCTGTGGTCACAGCTGCAAAGAAAGAATACATCTATGGTTGTAGGTACATTTGGCGAACAATCGATTGTTCCTGCTAGATTCTGTCGTGCAGAGTAGAACAGGCCACACGTGTATGTTTGCCTAGTGTGCACTTGGGCTTGGGAAACAGACTTGGGCAGAAATAATTGATCAGTTTTAGTTAGATATCTCCCCCGTGTGGGTTCCGGGGCCCATTGTGGGGAAAAACAAGAATAGACCCACTGCCTCCCCAAAAGCATGTCGTAAGAGTCGACTAATTGGGGAGCTTCCTTTGAAGTCGGAGTGCATCTGCCGGAGAGGCAAGGAACCAACAGTCTGTATTCAAGAGAATGAAATCTTTAAAACTGATGCACACGCAACACTCAGGTTCTGGAGCAGGACTGCAGTTCAATAGTGGACGAGCAACCAGAACTTTCCGCCAGAGTGTACAGCTGGTGAACACGAAGAAGAAGAAGAAGTTAGATATCTCTGTGAATATATTTGAGGCTTGTCACTTTCATTGCACTCTGGGATATCCATAGGTGTGGTTAATTATAACATACAATGTGATTAGAAGGCCTATCAAAGGCACTGGAAAAGACACGCAGAACTATAACCGAACGCTACAAATCTTTCATCAACGGAATACTAAATACAGCACAGAATGTGACCGCAAAACTTAATGGACAAGACAGCAGATCTTCTAAACAGCCAAACTCAACACCTGCAACCAAGAAATACGTAATTGGGCTGGGCAAGAAAAAAAAAGGGAAAAAGGGGGGGGGGGGGGGGGTAGGGTATATGTAAAGGAAGGAATCTGTTAGGAAAGGAAATAAGTAATTGGTGGAGGGGGGATGTGGTGGTGGTCTTGGGTTTGATAACCAAGAGCGGCGTGGTCAGTGCAGTCGCCACGAAGTTTGTAGCATTTGATTTTTGGGTACAACTAACGTTAGTCCATTTACACAGTTTTACACACTAGCTCACTTCTGATTCGTAGACGTTGAGCCAACTAGACACAAGGTTACGGGGGTTTTCCACAATGCCGTTGTTATCGCGTGTTGTATATATTTCAGCACGCCAGTGCTTTTAACACTCCAAAAAAAATTGACAAACTGGGTCTAACACAACGCACATGGAGAGTGCTGCAGCCTATGTCACAGGCATTCTCTTTCTCGGAATAAAAATAAAAATGCAAGACAACTCAGAAGGCAAACAACAGAGCGGCACACCCGTAACCTGCAGTAAAGTAGATCAGCCCAACAAACTTGTCAATGAAATGTGACCTATTTTGTTTTTATGGAGACAAGTAAAGGACCATCTTCTTGCCAGTGGTGTATCGGGCTTATGATGTTAGGCTAATACTTGTATACAAAAATCGCGTTCGATCCTGTATCAATATCACGCCGGTCGCCTTTACATCCAAGAACACTATCTGGTAAAAACAATTTTAAGCTGGGTGACATGAGAGCCAAAGAAACTAAAAAAAAAAAAAAAAAAAATCCGCCTTATGTAGATTCGACCCCAAGACTTCGGACTGACAGACGAGCGCCTCACTCTTCTCTATGTGTTCTTTCTCATACATTGCATAAGCAGGTCTTCATTTCCTCAATATTTTTTCTTGATGCCATCGTTCCATCGTCTACGTGGTATTTCCCTGGCCCGGTGCACATTGTTTTTCTTAAGAGTGGCTGTTTTGCAACTGGTACCGGGATATATATCCATTAAGGTAACTTATTTCCTTTTCCTACATTACAACGATTCTATCGTATCTTTATTTATAATTAGACCCTGTTTTTGTTTCTTTCTCTAAAGCGAGTCAGCTGTTTTCACTATCTCTAGTCGATTATTTTCCTACGAATACTCTATCTTTGTCACCTGCACAATTTTTGGTTATCTTGTGATTTTCTCTAGGTCTTGAAAACCGGAAGAGGCTCTTGCTTTAAATCAGTTGTTATTTGAAAGGTTAATGATTTTCTGCCTTTTTCCATGGCCTGATCTAATTATTTAACTTCTTTGATAATCTAAATCCCTTCAATGCATTCTGCAGACTGTTTTTATGTACACATCTTATTCAGCATTCCCAGCCCTTTAGGTTCATTGATACAGATATCACTGTTCTCCATTCACCTATGTGACTTCAAGGCTTAAATTTGTTTCGAGACCCAAACAAAAAAATTGTACATAGAACCTGTCCGGTTTGGGAGGCTCTGCTGGTAGCTATGCTAACGCCGGTATAGCTTTCAATGTCAATGAGAAATAAGCTTCCCCATCACGGTAAGGCGGAGATACCTTCGTGGGAGACATTATTAGGTGCTTTTTTTAAAATCCATGAAAACATGTTTGTCTCAAGTATTTCAAATTGTCTCTATAATTTGTCGTAAAATGAATATTCTTCTCCTTCTTTTTGTGTTCGCTTTCTTTTTACACTGAATGACACATTCTTGTGACAAACTGGACTGTTATAAGGAGATCCATTTCTGTTGAATATATAAAATAATATTGATCTGTTCTGTCGGAAGCCCACCTGGCAGTCGCCCAATAAATCATCAGCGTCTTGATTTATTCTGCTAAACGATTGTTCTGACAGCTTGTAGACAGTAATTATATTTTTCTATAGTTTTTACATTTGTATTTAACTGCTTTCTTAAAGACATCTATTACTGACTTTTCACAACTTTCGGTAATTTCTCTGTCCTTCATATTTGTTTTATTGAACCGCAAATCTTTGAATGTATAAAAATAACCACATTGTACATATCCAACCCCGACGCCTTTTCAAACTGCGTTATGTACATACAGTATTTCTTCCAAGTTAGTCGCTTCAATATTTGGCTCATATGTTAGTATCACTGCTTGCGAAACGCTCCATCCTTCCCCTTTTCCTTCCGTTGTTCTCTCCGGGCTTCTACCTGATGATGTGATCACATTGAGATTACAGAATCTCAATGTGGATGGCAAGCCAAAAGGTGAATTTCAGATATCCAATTCAGCCTAAACAGAAGTTATAATTGGAGCACGCGTAAGGCTTTACCAGGCCGGTGCGAACTGTAGTCCTGTGCAGGTAAGGATATTTGTAACAAACGATATTAATTAAAGTTTCACAATTATCTACTTCTACAAAAAAATATATTTTACATATTTTAAAAATTATTTTCGCCAATGCTGAATTCTGTTATTTCATCAATGATTCTGTGGGCAACAGGCACAAGTCTTGATGTGGTATCTATAGCTTTCGATTAATCGGTGTGTGTGTGTGTGTGTGTGTGTGTGTGTGTGTGTGTGTGTGTGTGTGTGTGTGTGAGTGTGAGTGTGTGTGTGTTCTATCTCTTCTTTTTATAAGTGGTAATCAATACATGTTACTTTGAACAAAGAAGACGCAAACAAAAGACTGCACATTTTGTTGTAGTTTTTTTAATATTTTGCATTGCTTTTACCACCAATAGTATGATGTGCTCAGCCACAGCAACAAAAATCTCAACGAAAACGAATCAATTAAATCGTCGAAAAGATCACCCGTCGTCCACGGTACACCACGCTTTTTACTATTGGGCACATTGTAAATAAGAGTGATGCATTTCAAATTCTGTATGCTCAGGTAATCGCAGACTGTTGAGATACGTGGAGGTAACTACGATCAGCCGGTTCAGTGCGGAATTATACAGACAAAATGACATGGTCGTCAACTTGCGTTTGCCTTGTTGAAAACAGTTTGTTACTTTTAAATGTAGTCTATTTTATATTTTAGATATATTCATTTATTTGCTTCATTTTAATCAGTTCTTACTGTAGCATGCGCCTGACCAGATAGAGGGAAATATGCCAGCTAATAAATTGTGCAGTCTACTGTTTGTGTTGTCTTTGTTCAAATTCACAGTGGGGAAACATTGTTTTGACTTGCTACTTTGTTCATCATACTATCAACAGTCACTTTTAGTTTGAAACGACCTCAGTGTTGCCTGCACACTGTATTATTATATTTTACATGCAGCGTCATCAATGAAGCCAAAGCGGTCCATCGATTGGCTGGCCCCCACCTGGAGTCATTCTTAGCTCACCCAGTCAACGTCTACCATTTATTCCGTCGCTTAGACAGCGGCTGGAGGGAAGGGTTACAACTTCTGTTACAGTCCAAGCCATGCAGGAAATGTAAGTTTGTTACAATTTTGTCTCTCCTTACAGGTTTTGGGAATTTGTGACTAGATAATTTTCATCCGTATAGTGGCACTCTGCATCACGGCGATCATGGCTCAGTGTGCAGTGATAACGGAGTTCATCTTCAATCTTTTATGAGTGACGCTACTTCTTCTTCTTCTTCAGCATTGCGAGCTCTTGATGTTCATTGCTGCAGATTCACCCGCTTCTATTAATTTCAACGCTTGGCCTTCTCTCCCAGTTGGTAATACCAGGTGTTAGTAGTTCTGTCTGGATATTATCTTTCCATGATCTTCTTGGTCTGTCTCGTGGTCTACGACCATTTAACTCAACTGTGTATACAGTTTTGACCTCTCTGCCATCTGAAATTCTCTCAACATGCTCCGGCCATTTGAGTATATTAGCCCTCAAGATACGATCAGTGGTTATTTAAACAGATTGTTAATTTTGTCTTTGCTTTTCACTCTCCATTCTCCGCTGTTTTCAGTGATGCGACTGTTTACTTTTAATCCTTCCTTAGATTCAGTTTACGGTATGGGTCTTAACTCATAAATCTTTCAGTACCAGAGAACTCTTCAAAAATGGCCTTGGTTTCCAAGTCGACCCAGCCTTAAATTGGTACCACGCAAAGTCCCGGGAAGTAAAGTTGTCACCTCATCCATCGAGTACCCATTAGTTTATAACAGTATAGGTTCTAGTAGCTTCATATGCCCAGTACACATTATTTACTTACCAAACAATTCAACAAGCCTTTGGAGTGCTTTAATAGAATATACATGTTGAAGTTCTTGTGGCTAATCTTGCTTTGTATCAAATCACCCAACCTAAATTGTTACTCATTTTATTTTATTCAGTGGTCTACATTTTAACTACTTTACTTTTGCCTGTGAATGAACGAGGTCAAGACTATAGAGCCATGCTGTGGGCTACTGTAGAGCTATGCTGTGGGCCAATGTAGAGCCATGCTGCGGGCTACTGTAGAGACATGCTGTGGGCCAATGTAGAGTCATTCTGTGGGTTACTGTAAAGCCATGCTATGGGCTACTGTAGAGCCATGCTGTGGGGTACTCTACAGCCATGCTGTTCGCTACTGTACAGCCATGCTGTGAGCCACTGTAGAGACATGCTATGGGCTACTGTAGAGCCATCCTGTGGGGTACTCTACAGCCATGCTGTTGGCTACTGTACAGCCATGCTGTGGGCCACTGTAGAGCCAAGCTGTGGGCTACTGTAGAGCCATGTTGTGGGCCACTGTAGAGACATGATGTGGGCCACTGTAAAGACATGATGTGGGCTACTGTAGAGCCACGCTGTGGGCCAGTGTAGAGCCAAGCTGTGGGCTACTGTAGAGCCATGTTGTGGGCCACTGTATAGCCATGATGTGGAGTACTGTAGAGCCAAGCTATGGGCCACTGTAGAGCCATGCTGTGGGCCACTGTAGAGCCATGCTGTTGGCTACTGTATAGCCATGATGTGGGCCACTGTAGAGACATGATGTGGGCTACTATAGAGCCACGCTGTGGGCTAATGTAGAGCCATGCTGTGGGTTACTGTAGAAACCATGCTGTGGGCTACTGTAGAGACATGTTGTGGGCTAGTGTAGAGCTATACTGTGAGCTACTGTAGAGCCATGTTGTAGGCTACTGTAGAGCCATGATGTGAGCTACTGTAGCGACATGCTGTGGGCTACTGTAGAGACATGCTGTGGGCTACTGTAGAGTCATGCTGTGGGCTACTGTAGAGACATGCTGTTAGCTACTGTAGAGACATGCTGTGGGCTACTGTAGAGACATGCTGTGGGCTAGTGTAGAGACATGCTGTGGGCCACTGTAGAGCCATGCTGTGGGCTACTGTAGAGACATGCTGTGGGCTACTGTAGAGCCATGCTGTGGGCTAGTGAGCAGCCATGCTGTGAGATACTGTGGAGTAATGCTGTGGGCTACTTAGGAGCCATGTTGTGGGCTACTGTAGAGCCCCGCTGTGGGCTACTGTATAGTCATGCTTTGGGCTACTGTAGCGCCATGCTGTGGGTTACTGTAGAGCCATGCTGTGGGTTAATGTAGAGACATGCTGTGGGCTACTGTAGCGCCATGCTGTGGGTTACTGTAGAGCCATGCTGTGGGTTACTGTAGAAACCATGCTGTGGGCTACTGTAGAGCCATGTTGTGGGCTACTGTAGAGTCATGCTGTGGGCTACTGTAGAGCCATGCTGTGGGCTACTGTAGAGCTTTGCTGTGGGCCACTGTAGAGCCATGCTGTGGGCTACTTTAGAGACATGCTGTGGGCTACTGTAGAGCTTTGCTGTGGGCCACTGTAGATCCATGATGTGGGCTGCTGTAGAGCTGTGCTGTGGGCCACTGTAGAGCCATACTGTGGGATACTGTAGAGCCATACTGTGGGCTACTGTAGAGCCATGCTGTGGGCTACTGTAGAGCCATCTTGCGGGCTACTGTAGAGAAATTCTTTGGGCCAGTAATGTCAAACCAAACCCTTATGTTACCAGGGCTCACAGGGTAAGCATGAAGCTTCAGCAGCCATTAGGCATTAACAGTTTGATTGTAGGCAAGTAACTTGTACCCCACGAGGACATCACACAGAGCGATAAACACCTGGTGACACAAAATGCCACCATGCGGATGAGGATCACCGTGGTAGGGCTTCAAAAAACGAAAAATTAAATCCCACAAGGGAACGATACGATAGTTTGATTGTATGCCTGTCTTGACTTTCAACTATGTGTAAAGGAAACCGGAAAACACTTTTAAATTATCATAGTGTTTTAAATTTGTCCTCTGATTTACTTGTGTGTGTTTTATGGTTGTGTATGTATGTAGATGCGTGTATGTATGTATTACGTATGGTCTGTATATGAGTGTGCCTGTATGAGAATGCAAGAGTATGTATACGTGTGTGTCTGTGTGGGTTTAAGTGTGTAAGAATGTGTACACATGATGTGTGTATGCATTATTCCATAATGTATATTTCTTTATTACATCCATAACATGCATTATTAATAACAGGCATTGGAACTCTGAAAAATGAGTGCTTAGAAGGGCCGGATGTCAGACGGGCCTGCCTGCCCAATTTGTAACCCTTTGAAAATAAAGTTTGTTCATTCGTTCGTTCCCATTACTTTTGCTATTGGCAGTCCTTGCATGTGAACTGTTTTCTTAGGATCATCAAAGACACACATGCATATGTATGTAATACTTTCACAGTTCTGTACACACATAGACTAAGTTGACTTTTTACCCACAGGGAACTTGCCAATGATAGTGGGCCGTATCCGCTATCTGATCGACAACCTGCCAGGCAGGGAGGAGTCGGGACGAGTTGTTGATTATATCGCTAAATTACAGAATATTTACGGAATACCAGTCAAGGACATCGTCCGTGGAAGGATCGGGGGCGTCCAAGCGCTGAAACCATTGACTGTCGAGGAGCAGTTCGAGATTGTCAAGGTCGGTGCTTTGGGGAAATAGTCAGGGAAAGATTGCTTGATCAAGGGAAGTAATCCGCAAGGTGTCGTCACCATAATAAAGGTTGACTCCCCTTGTAGGTTCCCGGTACATTGGTGGAAAAGGGGGATTTGGGGGGAGGGGGGAGTATAGCCCAACTGCGTCCATGGTAGGCCTGTCGTAAGAGACGACTAACAGAAGATTTGCTGAGATCAGATGTGTTAGGTTGAACAGCGCAGATATTGCAGCTTAGCCTGTTAAGAACAACACAACGTCCCAGTAACGTTTTAAAGGGTGAACCAGAAGAAGAAGAAGAAAAGAAGAAGAAGAAGAAAAAGAGATGAGGAGGAGGATATGAGAGGGAAGGATGGAGACTGGGGAGAGTGGGGTGGGGGGGGGGGGGGGGGGGGGAGAGTGGGGTGGGGGGGGGGGAGAGGAAGATGTATAAAAAGAAGCAGAAAAAAAAAAGGATGGATGTAATGGATCTCTTAAACTTGACTTTCTTTCTTTGGTGTACTCTCTATGAGACTGATGTTGGTGCAAGTCTTGATGTTTTTTCCCTACTTGTTTCACTGTCTAAATTATGGTTACCTTATCCAGTAGAAAAAGAAAAAGATGAAGATGATGAAGAAGAAGAAAAAGAAAAAGAAGGGTTGGAGTGGTAAGAGGAAAAAGGGGGCGGGGTGTGAAATGAAAGAGGTTGAAAAGCAGACCAGGAAGGATGAGGAGGAGAGGAAGACGAAGAAGAAAAAGAAGCAGAAGAAACAACAGCACTGGATCTCTAAAACGTATTTTGTCTTAGGTCTACTCTCTATGCGACTGCTGTTTGTCCATCTCTTGAAATTTTATTCCCATTTGTATCACCGTCTACCTCATATCCGCTTGCCCTTTGTTCTCTCACTGAAATTATTATAGTTAAATATATCTTTAAATGTGGCTGAAATTTTTTACTTTCAATACTAAATGTAAAGTATTAAGTTAAGAAATGTTACCACAACACTCAGGAAATGTTAATATACTCTCCACCACCATCTTCAACAGGCAGCGAAGAGTTGTAGTTGCCATGGTACCAATAGCGGTCTGCTAAATTGCCTGCAGGGCCTTTCTTCTGTGTGTATTGCTGGCCTTTCTTCTGTGTGTATTGCTGGCCTTTCTTCTGTGTGTATTGCTGGCCTTTCTTCTGTGTGTATTGCTGGCCTTTCTTCTGTGTGTAATGCTGGCTTTTCTTCTGTGTGTATTGCTGGCCGTTCTTCTGTGTGTATTGCCGGCCTTTCTTCTGTGTGTATTGCTGGCCTTTCTTCTGTGTGTATTGCTGGCTTTTCTTCTGTGTGTATTGTCGGCCTTTTTTATGTGTGTATTGCTGGCCTTTCTTCTGTGTGTTTTGTCGGCCTTTCTTCTGTGTGTATTGCCGGCCTTTCTTCTGTGTGTATTGCCGGCCTTTTTTATGTGTGTATTGCTGGCCTTTCTTCTGTGTGTTTTGCCGGCCGTTCTTCTGTGTGTATTGCCGGCCTTTCTTCTGTGTGTATTGCCGGCCTTTCTTCTGTGTATTGCCGCCCTTTCTTCTGTGTGTATTTCCGGCCGTTCTTCTGGGTGTATTGCTGGCCGTTCTTCTGTGTGTATTGCTAGCCGTTCTTCTGTGTGTATTGCCGGCCGTTCTTCTGTGTGTATTGCTAGCTGTTCTTCTGTGTGTATTGCTAGCCGTTATTCTGTGTGTATTGCTAGCCGTTCTTCTGTGTGTATTGCCGCCCTTTCTTCTGTGTGTATTGCCGGCCGTTCTTCTGGGTGTATTGCTGGCCGTTCTTCTGGGTGTATTGCTGGCCGTTCTTCTGTGTGTATTGCCGGCCGTTCTTCTGTGTGTATTGCTGGCCGTTCTTCTGTGTGTATTGCTAGCCGTTCTTCTGTGTGTATTGCTAGCCGTTCTTCTGGGTGTATTGCTAGCCGTTCTTCTGTGTGTATTGCCGGCCTTTGATCTGTGTGCATTGCTGGCTGTTCTTCTGTGTGTATTGCGGGCTGTTCTTCTGTGTGTATTGCTAGCCGTTCTTCTGTGTGTATTGCCGGCCTTTGATCTGTGTGCATTGCTGGCCGTTCTTCTGTGTGTATTGCGGGCTGTTCCTCTGTGTGTATTGCTGGCTTTTTTTCTGTGTGTATTGCCGGCCTTTGATCTGTGTGCATTGCTAGCCGTTCTTCTGTGTGTATTGCCGGCCTTTGATCTGTGTGCATTGCTGGCTGTTCTTCTGTGTGCATTGCTGGCTGTTCTTCTGTGTGTATTGCTGGCTTTTTTTCTGTGTGTATTGTCGGCCTTTGATCTGTGTGTATTGCTGGCTTTTTTTCTGTGTGTATTGTCGGCCTTTGATCTGTGTGTATTGCTGGCTTTTTTTCTGTGTGTATTGTCGGCCTTTGATCTGTGTGTATTGCTGGCTTTTTTTCTGTGTGTATTGTCGGCCTTTGATCTGTGTGTATTGCTGGCTTTTTTTCTGTGTGTATTGTCGGCCTTTGATCTGTGTGTATTGCTGGCTTTTTTTCTGTGTGTATTGCTGGCCTTTCTTCTGTGTGTATTGCTGTCCTTTCATCTGTGTTACCTGCCGACCTCTCTTCTGTGTGTATTGCCGGCCTTTCTTCTGTGTGTATTGCCGACCTTTCTTCTGTGTGTATTGCCGGCTTTTCTTCTGTGTGTATTGCCTGCCTTTCTTCTGTGTGTATTGCCGGCTTTTCTTCTGTGTGTATTGCCGGCCTTTCTTCTGTGTCTATTGCCGACCTTTCTTCTGTGTGTATTGCCGACCTTTCTTCTGTGTGTATTGCCGGCCGTTCTTCTGGGTGTATTGCTGGCCGTTCTTCTGTGTGTATTGCCGGCCGTTCTTCTGTGTGTATTGCTGTCCGTTCTTCTGTGTGTATTGCTGGCCTTTCTTCAGTGTGTATTGCCGGCCTTTCTTCTGTGTGTATTGCTGGCCGTTCTTCTGTGTGTATTGCCGGCCTTGTTCCCTGATCAGTCCTTCCTACACCATTCTCTCCTGGCGGTAGTGATCTATTCGCGGATCTGCATTGTTCTCTTGCTCTCAAAGGGCCTTGATCACATCTAACTTGTAATGCATCAAGGTTCAGTCACCCAGTAGTGCAGCAGCAGCCAGTATGTCTGCATGTCTACTGACATATCATATTTTGTTGTTGCATTTTTGGAGAGGGTGGGGGTTCGCCCTCTCCACCACTTACACATTTCCTAAGCAAATTAATGGACTGAGCCTCAACTGATTGAGTACACCCCCCCCCCTTTTTCCCATGTTTTCTTCGTGGCGGTGTGCCTGCGCATTGTCGTATAGTAAATCACTTGATTTCTATAAGGTTCTTCACGACAAAGACGACATGAGGACTGCCTTGGTGTGGCTGCAGCAAATCTACGAACACATGTCAGGTCTGACTTTGGAGCAGAAGAGCTCCCTCGACTTTAAACAGACAGACATACTCAATCTCATGTCATCTGCATATTATGCTGTAAGTATTTGTTCTGTGATCCACTTTTTTAGATGGTACTTAGATGACATATATCCTGCACAAGACTTTGGAAATGAACTCCAAGGTGTCGTTTTGCTAGACAATTTTATCTTTAGTAGTATGAATAGTAGTTTGCTATTATATAAATCCTATCTTAATATATGGAAGTGAATCATGGACAGTTGATAAATTTGTTAAATATTATTGAGAAGCTGAGGAGATGCGAATTTTTTAAACGAATGATAAGAATACCTTGGACAGATAAAAGGAGTAATGAGAATGTCTTGAAAGAAACTGACTCACGAAGAGAACTGTTTGCCTACATCAGAAAGAGACAATCATGTGATGAGAAGGAGAAAAAACTGGACAACATTGTGACAGTAGGACAGTTGTGGGGGGGGGGGGAGGCAGAGGTAAACAGAGAGAACAGATGCTGGACGTTTTGACATCATGGCATGGAGGATCATCTGTGTCAGAGTTGATCCAAAGTACACGAGACAGAAGATTGTTCACAGACATGACTACCAATACCACAAGACATGGACTTTGAGAAGAAGTTTGCTATTTCTTTCTGAATGGTACAACACTGATAATGTTGTCAAACACAACGCAAAGCGGTCAGCTGCTGAATCGCTTGCATCTCACAATAGATCTTGGCTGTTGGGATTAGGAACTTACGTGAGTTGTAAATGAACCAACTTATTTTATTTTTTATAGGTTTACAAATTGGGCACACAGGTCAATGTCACATTCAGCCATTCTGGCATCACTCCTATAGTACATTATTATAGAGACCATTCAACACACCGTGTGGGTTTCAGGGTTTCATTTTGGTGGAAACAAGAATAGATCCACTGTCACCTGACAAGCTTGTCGTAAAACTTGACAAATTAGAGGTGTTTCCTTCAAATTCAAGGTGCATCTGCCTAAGAGGCAAGCAACCAACAGTCTGTTTAAAAATAAGCCAGAAGAAGGAGGAGGAGAAGAAGAAGAAGAAGAAGAAGAAGAAGAAGAAGAAGAAGAAGAGGAAGAAGAAGAAGAAGAAGAAGAAAAAGAAAAATATACGAAAAAGAAAAGAAGAAGAAGAAGAAGAATGAAAGGAAAAAAGAAGAAGAAGAAGAAGGAAGAAGGAGATGGTGGAAGAGAAGAAGAAGAAGAAGAAGAAGAAAGAAGAAGAAGAAGAAGAAGAAGAAGAAGAGGAAGAAGAAGAAGAAGAAGAAAAGAAGAAGAAGAGAAGAAAGGAAGAAGAAGAAGAAGAAGAAAAAGAAAAGAAGAGAAGAAGAAGAAGAAGAAGAAGAAGAAGAAGAAGAAGAAGAAGAAGAAGAAGAAGAGGAAGAAGAAGAAGAAGAAGAAGAAAAAGAAAAATATACTTGGTGGTGAGTACCGACACCTTATTTAGACATTGTCTTTCAGCACCTTTTTTTTAAAGGAAAAAAATACATGTACATATGTACACACACACACACATATACACAAACATAATATTTATATATGTATAAATGTATAAATACACACATATATATATGTATATATAAATGTGTGTGTGTGTATATGTGTGTATATATAAACATAAATATATGTGTGTGTATCTTAGCCATACGTATACATATGTGTATATGTGTGTATATGTTTCTTAAATGAGGCTAGGTATGAATATATCTTACAGTATTATTGATTAAATATCACATTTTAACTAACTCACTCACTCACTCACTCACTCACTCACTCACTCACTCACTCACTAACTCATGCACTAACAAACAAACACAGGGGAAGAAGCATGTATATAAAGAACACTGTTTGTTTTTAATTACAGATAAAACATGTTTCTAAAGCTCTGGAAACAACAGAACAAGTTCTGGCATTAGGTAAACATATATTTTACACACAAGCTTAAGTAATTCTATAGAAAATTATATCACATTTTAAATAACCTGGTTTCGTATGTTTTTGGATGTATTGTTTGCACTATGCAAAATTCATCTAAGTGCCTTTCATTTCGGGGTAATTTTCATCTGAGTGTTTCTTTAAGGCTGTTATTTGTCACTTTGTTTAGGCCAAAGTCAAACATAGGCATTCTTACTCTAAGTGGATCAGAAAGAAGTATTATTTTTTATGCAACCCCAGAATATGTTTTTGTCATTCATTGTTTATTTTCTCGTAACAAGGATTTGGCATTGGCGGACTTTGACATATTTATAGTTAGTTGCATAGCCTTTGCATGAATAGATATAAAACTGAAATAATAGTAGATTTGCGAGCTTCACAATATAACAAACATGAATAAAAAGTGAACGTTGCTGCTACAGAACCTACATCAGCACATAACAATTTAAAAAAAAACACACCACACAAGGACCGATACCACCATTTTTTTTTAGCTGTTGTGGGTTTTCTAGGCACTTTTGGCGTTTAGTAATTTGTCATTGCTTCCCAAACTATCAGCTGTCGGTGTCACTGTCAAAACCAACAAAAAACAAGTCCTCTGCCGGTATCGAACCTAGCACCTCGGCATTACGAAGCGCGTTCGCAATGCTTAAGCCACAGACGCTGACTTTGGCATAGAGCCTTAAAATTATTATGAGATGAGGTGTTAAACTTTCTTCTTTGTCAGTGTTTTTTGAAGCACTGATGCTTTCCGTTTTCTCATTTTCTTCTTCTTCTTTCCCCTTATAATAATTATGTTTCTCCTTCCATTTGCAGCTTTTGCATTTCTAGTGCATTATCTTTGTTTATTTGAAGCAGTTCTTGTTATATTTAATATAGAATTTAGTGTTCGCTCTTTGCTCCAGGCTGCTGCATCATAACCATGTAACTCTTACTAGCTATACAAAATGGTGGGTTACTTCTCGTCTGCTGACCGGCGGCATGACAGTTTGACCAAACTTTCAATGAATGGTGACTGTTTGGATAACATGCTTCACTTCCTGGATGGCGATTTGTGTGTGTATCTTAGCCATAATATAATTGGTCTGAATGAATTGCCAGATTGTGTACGATGCAGACAGTAGACTTTATGTTCTAATCTGTTGCATGATTCAGAAAATATACAATATTCTTCATTGTTGGACATGGTGGGATGAGTATATTATTTGATGTGTATAAAGAAGATATCTATATTTTACATTGTTGTATTGTGTATAAAATAGACATGTATTTTCTGCATTGTTATATTGTGTATAAAGTAGGCATGTATATTCTGCATTGCTATATGGTGCAAAAAGTAGACATGTTTATTCTGAATTGCTATATGGTGCACAAAGTACATGTTTATTCTGAATTGCTATATGGTGTATAAAGTAGGCATGTATATTCTGCATTGCAATATGGTGCATAAAGTACATGTTTATTCTGAATTGCTTTATGGTGTATAAAGTAGACATGTATATTCTGATTGCTATATGGTGTAAAAAGTAGACATGTTTATTCTGAATTGCTACATGGTGTATAAAGTAGACATCTATATAACCTTGATTCTGGAGAAATTCTGACATGGTGAACCATGATTATCAACGAATATCGGATGTTTTCTGCACCATCCAGGTCACAAAATCATTATGGTATTTATCTCTTTGCCTTTCCCTTGCTAATGCCCCATCAGTCTTGTCCTACAATTAGTTCAGTGCAAACTGTTGGAGAGTCTGAAGCTTGGATGTTTTATAGAATGAGTCCTGCAGACTGATTTTAGACTGACAATGTCAAAGATTCCAGTTTCTTGTCAACAGATATGAGATTTTTAGTGTGGAAGATTCAAAATTCTGGCCAATTGATATTAGGGGTGTTTACTTTGAAGTCGGAGTACATCTGCCTTCGAGGTGAGAAACCAGTAGTCTGCATACAAATACCCTAGATCCCCAAATTGATTTGCATGCAAAACTCAAGTTCTGTAACAACAAAGTTAAGAATTGGGCGACAACCAGCACTTTCCACAGGAGTTTACAGCCATGGAAAGCTTAGAAAAAGATACTTATTCTTTTAGTCAATGAAATGGTTAGCTAGACAAATGTGTAGTTATGTAAATAACTTATTAATTAGCTTATTAATTAGAGTTTTAAATAAATGAAAATAGATAAACTTGTGTTTGAGTTTTAACTGGTGAGTTAATTAATGAGTTTGTTATTCAAGTACTAAGTTCTTTTAATTAATAAATTAACATTCTGTTAGGTCTGTTAATTAGGTAGTGGTAGCTTAAGTTAATTAGTATTTCAGGTAATACTTTAATTAGTTTGCAGATTAATTATTAGTGAATAATTGTAAATTAATTTCTGAGCCAGTTAATGGTGTTTGAGTTAGTCAATACTTTAGTTATTTAGTTAAGTTGTTAGTAAATTAGTGATTCAGTTAGTTAACAAGTGTGTTGTGTAACTAATTAATTGGATAGTTGGCTAATTTTTATTTATTATTATATATGTATACACATTAAAGATACATTTCGTGTTATTATTATATATTATTTTTAGTGTATTGGGTAGGAGTTCGGTCCCGAAAGTCATCAGTTAAAATCCACATCAAGACGGATTCTTTTTTTAAACATTGGCCTTGGCTTCCAGGCCGACTCAGCCTTAAATGGGGAGAGGTAGGGGCCTGTGAAATAAAGGCACCCTTATGATGTTGACCACATCATCCATCAAGTGCTGATTGGTCTATAAATATAAGTCTAGCACTATACACCAAATACCATTAAAAAAAGTCTTTATTATCAATATTATTATTACTTAATATTGTCTAACTGTCACATGAACTTTAACCCTGACTTATGCTGAGCAATATACATTTCATTTTACATATCATACATTTTACAAAATAGAGAATTTACTCCAGATTGTTGTATTTTTGACAGATCCAAACAACGGAATTGCAGCAAGCAACCTTATCTTCTTTAAGAACAAACTGGCAATTGAAAAAGAAAAAAATGAGACAGGCTTGAATAATGCAGAACTGAATACAGTATCTGTACGGAAACAGCTGCCTAAGTATGAACGCCTGTGTGGAAGGAAGAGACAGAAAGTTAGTATAAAATCTAAGTTACTAACAGTTTCACATTTGTTTAATCAATCTCCAGCTAATTGTTTTATTTTCGGAGGTGGGGAAGGGCCTGGGCGGGGATCTATTTCAAAACATGTAAAGAAATTTGATAGAAATTACTAGAATTGAAGTCTTTATCAACGGAGGACTAAATACAGTACAAACTGTGACTAGAATACTCAGTAGGCAAATAACAGAGCTAATTTAAAAAAAACCCAAGGTCAACAGGAAATCAAAAAAGTACTTAATGAGGGAAAAGTATTAATATGAAAACTATAATATGAAACGAAATAATTAAAAAGGCATATGAGAAAAGAGGGAAGACATACGAATAAGATAAATAAATGACAAGAAAATTAATTATATTGAAAAAAAGCTGTGCTGAATATTGATTTCCCCAGGACTAAGATCACAAAACCTATGGATTAAACGATTTTCTAAACAGCAGCGGCTGGTTTTATCACCAGAGCTTCTCTCTAGACAGACAGACAGAGAGAGAGAGAGACAGAGAGAGAAAGAGAGAGAGAGAGAGAGAGAGAGAGAGAGAATGAGGGGGTGGCTGACTTAGTACTTGATTTGATTCACCGCATACATATTTACACACATATTACAGGCAACAAGAAAGAGATGTCGACTTGTGCGGATCGGGCTGATATTCTACAAGGTGGAGCCACTGCATTACAAGCCTCCTATTGTAATCTTCCACGACATCATACGCAGTAAAACAGCAGATGTCTTAAAAAGTTATGCTCACGATACTGTAAGATCGTCTGCCTGAGTAGTTTTCATGTATCACTTATGACACGGTTTACATGTTAGCAAATTTCTGCTTGTATGTGTTTCGTTCAGCCCCACCAGGACCGTACAACGAGCGACCAACACCCATTGACACAAAGTGCTAACATTCAGATGAGGATCACCAGGGTACAAGTCCCAGAAACCCCCGTTCAACCGTTAGGTTATATTAGGCGCTTTAGAATAATGAAAAATTGGGTCCCATACTGGGACGGCATTTGATAAAAATTGCATTTTATAAAATGAAGAACATCTTATGCAATATTTCTCTGTCGTTGAAGGTTAGAAAAATAATTTTTGCTTGCTACATACATTCAGTTTTAACATATGGCTGTGAGTCCTGGACAATCGGTAGGCAGGCCAAAAAATTTCTTGAGGCCTCAGAGATGTGGTTTTACAGAAGAATGCTTAAATACCTTAAAATGGCAACCATTCTCCAACGTCCGAGTGTGTCCTAGCCATCCTAGCCACCCTTGAAGAATGAACATTAAGAGAACTGTCAGGATTCCTGCATTTTCCATTACCTCAGTATCTGTAATCTTGTCTTGCCACCTAATGCCAAGTATTCTTCATAGACATCATATATGAAATTCATTAGGCTTTTTCTCCAGGTAGGAATAAGTCGACAAATGTTTACTACCGTATAGAAGAGTGCTGAGAACTCGAGCACTGTGATTCGTGATTAGTGAGGAGTATCATCAGAAAACTCCGGACAGATCCATAGATGATCCGATCTTCTAGTCAACGGTTACACAAGAGTAAAACGACCGATCACACCTGTTCTCCGTTGATTTTTCAGCCATCTTGTCCCCTTGGGGAAATATTCATCTCTAGCAGCTGCAGACTGTACCGCCTGAGCATCAGGCTGGACAGAGAAACAGATACAAGTATAGTTGTATAATTTAAAATGTATCTATGGAACTTATTACACAGATTTAGTTTTAACATATCGCTGTGAATCCTGGTCAATACAAGCAAGCCCAAACATTTTTTTTTAACTTCAGTGATGTAGTTTTACATTATTGATCTATTTATTTACAAGTTATTTACTTTTTCTTGTATTATTAAATGACTGCCTTGTATTATTAAATTACTGAACTTTTGATTATAACCAAGTTAGATTTGTCTCTTCACCAAACATAATAGAACAATCACGGAAGCTGAGCAATGAACATACAAGTTATTACCTCAAAAGAGTTTACCAAACTGAAAAGCAGAGCTCTTCATCTTCCAAATAAAACGCATGTCCAAGTGTGTACACACATACATAAACACGCGCACACACATACATACATGTGCTGTTTACTATAATAAACTTTACTGCTAGAGGGCTTCTTCAGCATAAAAAGCCAATGGTACATGCACACTGCATGAAACGATCCACCTATGTTATATCTGAGTTCATTACAATCAAGTTAAACTGACAGTGTTAATTGTTTAATGTAAACAATCTTATTGATAGGCATTATTACTGAAGCTACCTTACTGTTACAGCAAACGGAACAGGCTTGGATCTCAGAGGAGACATTCAGCCCTCCAGAACTTGGGTATGAGAATTTATCTTTTCTTACTTGATGTTTAATTAAGAATCAACATCACATCAACATCGGTCTGATTTTATATCCATTTCACCTTACCCTTAAGTGTTGATCGTCTGCCAGATCCCCTAGTAACTCCTCGCAGCGCCATTCTCCTCAGACCATGATGATCCATCTGTGCGGATGTTCACTCTCCCCAACAAAGCCCTTACAAAGTCTAGCTTGTCATGCATCAATTCACCACCAAGTTGTGCAGAACCATCCAGTCTGTGTGCTTGTTCATTTCCTAATACAACTACATGCTTCAGGGAAAAAGTGTCTACCAGGGACCTCTGGAGTAAAACCTCACCAGCTTCTCACAACAGATCCATCTGTGAAAAGGTCAGCACCGCAACAGTAGCTTGACAAATCCATTAAAATCAAGATTATGTATTTCCGTGTTTGTAAAAGGTCATCTCACCAGCCCGTAAATTAACTCATATCCGTCTAGATGTTATCAAGAAATGCTAAATAAAACACAAAATGCGCGTAGAAAGCGCAACCGATGTAATGGAAAAGATGCACATGGACATAACCGAACTCTTTGACTCCCAGGAATGACAAACCTTCAATCCTGGAAGAGAAAAATGCAGTTTTTCTGTAAAAATTGAAAAAAAAAATTATTTTTAATTTTTTTAAAGTTCAGAGGTAAATGTTGATCTTTCTTCTATTTCTTCATATTCTAATCTCTTTGCACTGTCTGAGAAGAGGGCCATGCCATCTGGCTATTTGAATTGTAATTGATTCATGTTAAACAGAACATATATTGAACATTTTCCAATTTACATTTAAGATTTAATTCACACTGAAGAGACGACAATTGAATGATTTATGTCTGCATACTAGAATTGATTTACACAACTGAACATATCTCTAGTGCTGATTTACACAACTGAACACATATAAGAGCTCCGTTCTCCCGAGTTGATTAACACAACCGAACATGTCTAAGAGCTCCGTTCTCTAAAGTTGATTTACACAACTGACTATATTTAGCACTCCCTTTTCTATCGAGCTAATTCACCCAACTGAATATATTTGCTTCTTTACATAAAATTGATTTACACAGCCTACCATACTCAGCAATCTCTATTCCATGGATTTGATTTACAGAACTAAACATTTTAGTTCTCCTGTATACAGTGTTGATTTACACAACTTTATATATTTAACAGTTCTCTTTGTATGTTTTTTTAAAAACGCAAATAGAAAAAAAACAACACGTTGAACAGGTCCCTTTCTATAGTTTATTTACATAACTAAACGTATATATATATATACTGTTGATTTACAGCAGTTTCCGGTCCATTTAACCCTTTCCACCCCAGAATGTCATAGTTGATGCCCCAGGGGGTCAGCTGTGAAATCAACAAAATCATGGGTATAGTAAAACCACATGTCCAGAATACACATTCCGTTTCTTATTATAGCCCTTTTATATTTATATTCCCTCCCCCCCCCCCCCACCTCCCTTTTTTCAACGTATTTCTGGGTTTCATGTTGACCTTGGTTTTTTATTAGCTATGTTTTCTTATCCGTTGAGTTTTCCAGTCACTGTGTTATATTAAGCATTTATTGCAATCAGCTCGACTGGATCACCCCTATTTACTTCATCATAAAAGAATTAAGAAGTGATTCTGACATAACCGAAATGTATATTGAACATATCCATTTCCATTTCAGAGTGGTTTTAAACTTACAGGAGATGACGACAAGCTCAATGAAGAATGAGACTATCAGCCTCAAGAAGCACTTGCTGTCCTTGTCTAGCCTGGCTGAAGGAGAACCAGAGGCCTGGGATCAAATCCAGGTGAGTTTGGGTTTCTGTTGAAGCACTTGGGTGCAAATCTAGAGGTGAGAAAAATACGCTGGCATTTGATAGGACACACAATGAAAAAAAAAAACGGATAACATTGTAACTAATGTCCTTGCACTGAAACCCACATAGTTAAAAGAATAAAGGCAGAAAAAAATGCTTAATAAAAATAGAGAGGTGAAAACAATAGAAGGTATAGGGTGAGCTGCACGTGATGTGAAAGGATAGGACGAAGTGAGGGTGAGTTGTATGAAAGTCACTGGCGAATAAAGATTAGAAGGGGCCTGAAACTGATATTTTACAAAGAAGCAAAAATGATTTCCAGCAAAGTGTTATTAACTTGTCTGCAGTCTTCTATTTAAACAACATTTTTTTTTTAAATAACATCTGGCTTGTCGGATGGGCGTTTACTTTTTTTTTTGCTTTCACTCCCCCCCCCCCCCCCCCCCTTCCCCATAACATTGGGGTTATTAGATAACTGTTTACCGGAAAGACCAACAAATGCCCGCAGAAGTCGATGTGTTTTCCGAAAGGTGCAAATATCGCAGCCATGCTGTAAATGGACACAACACAATTACATCTTCGGATGAATGCAGAAAAAGAAAAAGAAGATAACTGTTTAATAGTCTCACAGTTTAATCATTTTTCAGTTCTTTTATAAAATCTTGCCTTCTTTTCTGTTTTTTCCCTGTCATATTTGTATTTGTAGAAAACACATTGGAATTTTTTTCTTGGTAGGTGTCTGTTGTTGAAGCTTTCTAGTTATATCATATGTTTATTTTTGCTTGAAAGAAAAGCCTGTTACTGTTATTAGTAGGTGCTGTTATCAGTGCTAGAAAAGAACAGATCCACTGCCCACTTACAAACATGTAAAAGGCGACTATTTGGGAGTGTTTCTTTCACAATCGAAATGCATCTTCCTGAGAGTGAGGAACCAACAACCTGCATACAGTTAAGCCAGACTTGTGAAATGATATGCACGGAAAACTTAAGTTCTGGAACAAAGTTGTTTTTCGGCGAACAATTAAAACTTTTCACAGGAGTTTAAGTAGACAGTAGTATATAAGTTAATAATTCCCTGTATTTTTTAGGGCGTGGCCGCTCAATAACCTTTTTACACCACCAATACCAAAGAAACAGAGGAAAAAAGATTTCCACCGCTTGAGCGAGCAGTGGTGGTATTTTAAAATTAGAGGTATAAGTAACCTGGCGGCTTGTCGAGGCTGAGGTCACCTGATTGTGTCAAGGTCAAAATGAGGCTCAACTTGTTTGAGGTCACCTCGGAGGAGGCTCTTGTGTGTGCATGTTAGGGGAGGTGAAAAAAAGAACCTGCCAGTTTTAGGATCAGAGGTGGGTAAGAATGAGGGCCCGATGGTTATATAGTTTAATAAAACTGGGTATTGACTGAGCTTAGCAGAGGGAAATTGAAAGTATATATGTTATACAGTAAAAATATATAAAAGTGTTAAAATAGAGCAGTATGACTCTAGATTGATATAAGTTATATAGTAGAACTGAGAAAGAGAGGGGTATGTAGTGGCTTGGTGGAAGGGAATAACAGGATCATAAACTTATATATTACTAGTTTACTGCCGGTGAACGCGAAGAAGAGGGGACTTCCCAGAGATTAAGAGACACTTTAAAATAAAAGCCGTTGGAGCAAAGTGGCAAGATGCCTGCCTGCCTGTTGGCCCGAGTTTTTTTGTTTTTTTGTTCTTAACCACATTGCATAGATTTGGAGAAACAAATCTACTCCCTTGCCAACTCATCCTAAAACAGGTAGGAGGCAGTGACTTGGGAAATAAAGACAGCCAGTTGGATGTTGACCCACACATCTACTGAGTGCCAATTAGTTTATCAAAATATGTCTAGCATCTTATGCCCATACACCACTACTGTTAAAAGGGTAATTTACTTTATCTTTACAAAACCCTGGAAGGTTGAGGGCAAGTCAGCAAGAGGTAAACATCAATACAAGGGGAATGGTAACAAGAGATAGATATACAACAGTCTCAGAAAGTGTGAAGTCAGATCTAGAGGCAGTGTTGATCTCTTGCAGCCACCCTTTCTAGGGAAACTGGCACCTAACTAATTGAAATCAGAGATGACATAAACCATCTAGTGATTGATACGAGCATCCTTTTTATATTGAACACACACCTGTGTAGTGTTAGGGCCCAGATTTTGGTTAAAAAAAATATCCACTGTTTCTTAAGAGGCATGTGACTAATTAGAGCTTCTGAGCCGAATGTGTAGAGCTGAAAGGGGCAGATTTTACAAACTTAGCTAACCACAATTCAATATGGAACCACGTTTCTAAGGCTGAAAACAAAAGTAAGAAAAGAACAAAATTGAACACAAGACACAGCAGGCACCAGAGCAAACTGTGATTTCACCAAACAGATGTCTCTTTTGTAGATATATTTACAAGATAATTAAACATTGCTTCTTTGAATGTTCAAAGGATACATTTATCAGGAAATTCTTACCTTCTGAATGTTGTATATTAAATTACGAATTAAATCATAGCACTAGGGACACTCTCATAAGCGCCTCGTCCTCATCTTCAACAGCAAGCAAGAGTTCCAGTTCTGATGGTACCAGTAACTATCTGATTGTACATCCGTCTCGCCTTTCCCTTGAGTGTCGAGAGTCTGCCAGATCCCCTAGTAACTCCCCACAGCACCATTCTCCTTAGACCATAATGATCTATCGATGCCACAGCACTGTTCACTCGCTTCCAAAGGGTCCTCCCAACATTTAATTTGTCATACATCAGTTCACCACCAAGTTTTGCAGAACCGGCCGGTCTATCTACTGGTTTGTTTCCCAATACACCAGCATAACCTGGAGAAAATATCCAAAGGACACTAACTACCCAGGACCTCTAAAGCTATGCTTTCAACTCTGCACGGAAAATCTTTCTCAAAATAATCTGTGAATCAGTTACAATTACAGCATGTGTGTACAGTTGATTCTCAAGCAAGGCTTTGTTGCACTAATGGAGGTCCATTCGCTTCTGCTATAAACCCCCATGCACCTCGTCTGCCTCTCAACACAGAGCCTGTTAGGCGGGAATTGTCATAAATCATTTGTTGAACTTCTGATTCTGCAGCATCAGCTGGCCAGGTACTGCACTCATGACCTAAAGTGATTAGAACCCTACACAAATCTGGTTCTTGCTCGGACACCTTGACCAACTCCTCTCCATGCCCAAATTTATCAGGCCTGCATATATTTATAATTGTGTTTTCAGCTTGCGTCATTCAAGACCTTAATCTTTTCAGTCGGTTACCCTTAGCTCTACATAGGGTTTTATGCAGAAGGTGCTTCTTGTCTGCAGCTACTCTGAGATATAACTTTGCTTGCAGAACTTTGAGCCTATCTGCAGTAGTGGGAAGTGCAATTATATATCGCATGCATATGTAGGACTCCTTCAGGACATCCCGTGCATCTTCCTTAGCAAGCTGGCAATACTAGGTTGACCGTTTACTTTCTGCACTGAAACAAATATTTTCTATGGCTTTTGTACTTCCCTCCTCTAGAAGCAGAATACTTTATGTGTAATGAGTTATGTTGTCAGTATTCCACTGGCCACATTTACTTTTAAATTGGTGGCAGGGGTTACATTCTCAAATAAAGCCTCTTTGTGTTTGTTTCAGGTGATCAATGTTGGATTGGAAGGCATGCATCTGAGGGAACATAGGAGGAACCTCCGTCTGGTGAGGATTATAATTTTATTTTGTATCTCATTGTTTGCCGGTTGTAAATGTGAACAAAGGAGACACAATCAACATGCTAAACAATTTATTAACAAGCTTTTTTTGTTGAAACTTGGAGCACAGTTGAAAGAGATGAAGCCTTATTACAAATTTTTTTTAAAGGGAGTCTTACGATGAATCTTTGGACCCATCAAAGATGCAAACAGCGGTGAATGGAGAGTGACAAAGCAACAACGAAATTCATAACCTGTTTAAATCACCATTGATCACTGGCATCATGAAAGCTAATAGACTGAAATGGTTGGGGCATACTGAGAGAATGTCATATGACAGAGAAGTAAAAAATGTATACCCAAGGGATCTAAATGGTCGTAGACCAAGAGGCAGACCAAGAAGATTATGGATTGATAATGTCCAGACAGACCTGCAAACACTTGATGTCGCCAGCTGGAAAGAGAAGGTTAACCAGAGAGATGAATGGAGGCTGGTGATATCTGCAGCAATGAACCTCGAGGGCTGGGAATGCTGAAAATTGTGTCGTCCACAACGTGGGATAGCCACAAAATATCCATGGCTAACCATAGTAATACCGTAAAACTTTGTTAAGAAAAAAAAAATTAGGAGATTGTGTTAAAAATATTCAAATTAATACATCTCTGCAGGACTAACATTTGGCTTGTGTTAGCTGAGTTTTCTTTTCAAGTTAGTTTGCGTTAGTCAGCTTTTACTGTATTATATGGTTAGGCCTCAGTCTTTTCCACAGTACAACTCTTGTACCACAATCTGAAAGCTGCTAGAAGGGTCTTTTTCTAAACTATCCCACCGTAGTACTGGAACCCTGGTAAACATCGAGGATTGCTTTGTGAAACCATTTTACTAAACTCTAAACCCACAGAGTCGTACATTAACTGTGATAAGAGATAAAAGATGGAGATTTGGTGGTCATGTTATGAGAGGAAGTTGACAAAGGTTAACAAACCAGGCTCTAAAATGGAAATAAAATGGATTGTTGAAACAAGGGTGACAGAAAGAAAAATCTCATTAACACTAATGAGGGGCCAAATGGATTCCATCCATAAGAACATGATTATGCAGGATACAGTGGAATGGAGGAATCTACCATAAGTCCATATGTGACCTGAAAGTAGGATAAAAAGATGATGCTATGTTGCAGTATATCGTCGTGTACATACTACAGAACTAAGCAAGATATTGCACATTAATCCTTTCAAATGAAATTCAGACCACTTTCAAATGTTACTGCTTCTAATACTTGGGTATTTGTGTTACTTGTGTATTTGTGTTACTGTGGTAATTGTGCTAGGAGGGTATTTGAAAGTACATGTTACTAGCTGTTATTTTTTTCGCCCTTTGTTTTCGACCCCCTTTCCCCATTATTACTGTAAAAAACACTTTATGATGAGTATCGGTATCTTTATTAGATACTTCTTGGTGTGTACTGGCACCTGGTTTAGACACTTTAGGGTAAGTAGTACTTAAAGTACTAGTACCTTTTTCCTAGAAAACACACACACACACACCCAAAAAAAAATATAAAAACGTACCTAGTCACCAGGGTATTTCGAAGTTTCACGAGAGTATTTGTAAGGGTTACCAGGGCATTTCAAAGTGTCATGAGAGTATTTGTAAGGGTTACCAGGGCATTTCAAAGTGTCATGAGAGTATTTGTAAGTGTTACTAGGGTATTTGTAAGTTTACTACTATGTCTTTTGCCTCATATAGTACTGGTCATGAACACAGGATATTGCTGCGGATTCGAAAAATGGAAGCAATAATTTCACCGCGTAAATGGTCAGAACAGTGTCTTTTTTGTTGATTACGTTGTCACAGCAAAATATGCCAGGCAATGAATTCTTAAAAACATCTTTTCTTGTCCGTAATCGTCACAGTTGATCATGTGCATAATGCGAAAAGCTGAGTTGAGTTGGGCACTGACATCATAGTACCCATGAATTCTCATATGCACACTGTCCTCATCTTCAACAACCAATGAAGATTTTCAATTATGATGGTACCAGTGGCAATCTGATTCCATCTTGCCTTTCCTCCTGTGTAAAGTTAGCCAGATTTCCTGATCACTTTTAGCTAAACTTTTATTCTCTCTAACACTCTCCTGTCTCTTTGTTCTAAAGCCGATCCCTCCATTACTGTTTTGTTTAAACCACTATGCATATATTAAATTAGTGTGTGAGTGTGTGTATGTGTGTGAGAGAGAGAGAGAAAGAGAGAGAGAGAGAGAGAGAGAGAGAGAGAGAGAGAGAGAGAGAGAGAGAGGGAGAGAGAGAGAGAGAGAGAGAAAGGGGGAAGAGAATTAACATTGTTTGAAAGTTATGGGGGGGGGGAGCTACATTTGAAAAAAAAAAGGATGGCTTCACATGATTTGATTGTAGGCCAATGTTCCATTCGCGGATGAAATTTCTTTTTTTTTTATAACAGTCTACGCTTTAGGGGAATCCTGGTTTGCCTCTAATATAAAGGAACCGTTAGACTGAAAGTTTGAGAATGCTGGTTAATGTATGACTGGTGTCAAATTGTCCACTTGGCATGAGTCGACTGTGGGCCTATGATCCAGGGGGGGGGGGGGGGGGGGGGGAGAACAAAATAAGTGTTAAAACTAATGAATCCGTGCATCAGGGAGGTCTAGAATGCGACCTCCATAGATCAAGAAGATGGCAGACTTTGACATTTTAAGAACTGCTGGTAAATATTTAATAGTTGTACAATTATCCATATTGCAGAACCCACCAGAGAAGCAGGGGAAGTACAGGAAGGAAGCAGGAGCATATTATATTTTTGTGAGTATTTCAGTTCTTTTGCATGGAGCTGAGGATGAGGTAGCAAACATTCATTACATGATACTTGTGCAGAATATTGGTGAATTAAATAGTATGACAGAATACCAAATGTAGAGTTGAACTAAACAAATTCCAGGCAATCAAAGGTGAGGTGAATATGCTGGTGCTAGATAAAAAAAAAAAAAAAGTGGGGAAACCTGATAACAATATAGAATGTCCTTGTGTTGGAACCCACGAACCCACAGGTCAAATGAATAAAGCAGACACCCCCCCCCCCACCCCTTTTTCCCTCCCACCACACAAAAAAAAACTTTAGAAGGAAATTACAGAATGAAGTGAATGAACAAGAGGAGGAGATATGTGTGAGCTGTATGTGATCGCAATTCTGGTCTATGCATTGGGTAGCATGGGGTATTTTACACGCAACGGTGTACTGGGCCAAACCTACATTACCACACACACACAAATTGGTATGAAATTCTGTTCTGTGCACAGAAAAGTACCGGCTTCCTGGAGGCAACTGTCCAGTGTGCCCATGTTCATGTGTCATATTTGAACTCATCGCAAGAAACAACTCATATATTACCTCATCACAATCGACGTTGTTGCACATTGGGCATTCCCATGCGTGCATTCCTCCGATGCAGCTACCACCTCCAGGGTATCTACAGATTGTTCCCATGAGAAATTGGTTATAATGACTCCTAACTTGACCTCGAAGATGGCAAAGACGTGTTTTACTTCCATGTCAGACCCACGAAGGCATAGGCCAGGCTCTCCTTCAGATTTCACTGGCAGCAACTTATGTTTACCCCCTTCCGCCTGTCATATAATATAATGGTTTGTCCGCTTTTAAATCAGGTGAAAATGTTCAAATTATTGCTTTGCCTCTATTGTGTTAGTACTTGAATAATGGGCTCTCCTTTCAACTACGACCGGTAGACAACAGTAGACGGCCGGTTAGTCGGAGTTCTGTCCCCTGGCTGCAGTGCAATTACGGACTGGAGAAGGCACGAATCAGAAAACACAGTGAGGTCGACATGCCTGGCAGACCCCGCGCTGCGACTCAAATTAGCCACCGCGTTGAAAAACCGCTTCTTGCGACGCATTACGGAGTGGACTAGAGGGAACGAAACAAGTGACATAATTACTGTGTGTTGGCGATAGACAGCGTGCAGTGCCCTACTGTCATCATACGGTTAGGGTGTGGATTAGGGTTTGGGTTAGGGTTAGGGGTAGGGGTAGGGGTTGGGTTAGGTTTAGGGTTAGGGTTTGGGTTGCTACTATGAGTTTGTGCGAAGACGAGATGCGGCGACACTAACCGTAACCCTAACCCACACCCTAAACCTAACCCACACCCTACCCCTAACCCTAACCCTAACCCTAACTCAAACCCTAACCCAAACCGTAACCGTATGATTATAGCAGGGCAGTGCACGCTATCGCCAACACACAGTAATTATGTCATTTGTTTCGTTCCCTCCTTTCCACTCCGTAATTGCACTGCAGCAAGAAGACAGAACTCCGACTAACCGGCCGTCTACTGTTGTCTACCGGCCGTAGTTGAAAGGAGAGCCGGTTCCCTTCCTCACACACACACACACAATTATCAGAAATGTGGGGGGTGGGGGAGGGGAACTAATTCAACCTTTTACCGCCGCCACCCCCCCCCCCCTCCCCCGACTGAAATAACTGGGAGTAAAAGAAATCAGTCGCAGTTAGGATTGAAGTAGCTGGGGATGAAAGGAATCAGTCACAATTAGGATTGAAGAAACTGGGGATGAAAGGAATCAGTCACAATTAGGAGTGAAGTAACTGGGGATAAAAGGAATCAGTCACAATTAGGATTGAAGTAACTGGGGATGAAAGGAATCAGTCACAAATAGGATTGAAGTAACTGGGGATGAAAGGTGACAGTCGCAGTTAGGATTGATGTAACTGGGGATGAAAGGTGACAGTCACAGTTAGGATTGAAGTAACTGGGGATGAAAGGAATCGGTCACAATTAGGATTGAAGTAACTGGGGATGAAAGGTGACAGTCGCAGTTAGGATTGAAGTAACTTGGGTAGAAAGGAATCGGTCACAATTAGGATTGAAGTAATTGGGGATGAAAGGAGGCAGTCACAGTTAGGATTGAAGTAGTTGGGAATGAAAGGTGGCAGTCACAGTTAGGATTGAAGTAACTGGGGATGATAGGAATCAGTCACAATTAGGATTGAAGTAACTGGGGATGAAAGGAGGCAGTCACAGTTAGGATTGAAGTAACTGGGAATGAAAGGAATTGGTCACAATTAGGATTGAAGTAGCTGGGGATGAAAGGAGGCAGTCACAGTTAGGATTGAAGTAGCTGGGGATGAAAGGAATCAGTCACAATTAGGATTGAAGTAACTAGGATAAATGAAGATAAAAGGCGTGAGTCAGACATACAGACTGCTACTGGTATTATCTGGATGGAGCTCAACGCTGGACACTGAAGACGAGGACAGGGCGCTTATGGGAATTTCCCGAGTGCTATGATTTCAACTCTTAATTTAACCCAGTTTAACTCCAAAGATAATATAATTTTCTTCCGATCTTCTGTCATAGACTTTTGATATATGTATCGTTGAATATGCGTTGTTATAAACTCAGTGTTTCGTTGCTTTGCGATTGATCTGTTGTTTTCTCGTCGCAGCTGAATGATGTCAAGATTGGTGGAGAGGCTGTCTTCGTGGATGAAAATATCGTTGTACATCCTGAGAAGGTATGATATTGTACTGCTGGCTGTTTGTCCGGCTAGACAATCCAAGAGCCATCACCACAAATGAGATTCGCTAGATTGGTTTCAATGCTTCCTATTTGTTTTATATTTTTTTCTTCTTCAACAATACTAATTTGGGCAAGCAGGGAAATAAAGAAAGACAGGGGTTAGAGGGAATGACAGAACACGGAAGGAGTGACTAATACAGGATCATAAAGGTGTCGGACACATTGCAGGAGGGGTGGACACATTTGTAAATGGGAAAGGGGGTGGGAAAAGACACAGTCAGACACACCTGGAGATTTGAGAGGAGAATATACGTTAGGACGGACACGTTCAAGGGAAGGGGAAACATGAGACATATAATAGGCAAACATAATGAGGGAAAAAAAAAGGGGAGAGGGGGGTAGGGGGTTAATAAAGATGTAATCCTATATGCCAAACTAAGAGAGAATAGTCTGACACACATACACCCACAAGCGGGCGGACAAACATGGAGACAGACAGGCAGGTAAAGAGGGGAGAGACGAAGAGTGAGACATATACCCACCAGGGCGGGGAATAGGAGGCATATCGCCTTTCAAACTTCAGCGAAATAGGCCTGTAAAATACTTCCATGCAAACAGACACACACCCAGAGAGAGAGAGAGAGAGAGAGAGAGAGAGAGAGAGAGAGAGAGAGAGAGAGAGAGAGAGAGAGAGAGAGAGTGAGTGTATGCAGTGTGTGTTAGGGAGCGAGAGGGAAAAAACCCCACTCTGACACAAGGCCAGGTTACAGACTCTATTACAAGCCCTACGACTGCAAGTCGAGGTCGGTTCCTCTGCTTCCAGGTTGAGAAATGGGTACAGGGGTCGGTATCACCATATCATGTGCCGAGTGGACCACACCAGCAAAGTACATTTTGATAGAGCAGGAATGTAACCACTCCCGCCCCCTAAAAATGTGAAGTTGACATAAGGGGAAAGGTCTGGGCAGTAAAGGTAGCCACTGTGACCTAGTGGCGAGGCGGGTATGTAACTGCCATAATCGCCGCTTATACTTTCCATAGAAAAAATATGTCATTGTTTATTATTATTGTTTAGTTTGTATTACAAATATGCCATTCGATGTACGCCCTGCACATAACAAAACAGAGCGCTCGTTGCATGATTGCGCCACTAAGTAAGAAACTGTCTGTAACGTGTGAAATGTACCAATTACTAATGCTTACACTTTTACATTTGCACGCATATTCTAAACAACGAATCAAACAGGTGGTAAACATCGCGTGATACCCTCTGCAGTGTAACGGTCACCTGTTAACGCTTACACATGCTATTTGACCACGTCTCGCTACAGTCGTGAGCACGTATCATTTGTCCACCACCTTTTAGACAGTGCAGCATTTTTCTTCGCGTCTGTATTGAATAACTGGATTCATGTTTCAGGGCAGCGTCCTCTTCTACTATCACTCGAAGACGTCCCTTCACAGCTTCTGCCCTGTCATTGGGAGCTCTCTGTGGGGTAAGTACAACTGATATTATGGTCTGGAGTTACAACATCTATTACATGGCAGAACTCCCCCCCCCCCCCCATCTCCACCATTACAGCCCTGATGTCCATTCAGCTTCATAGAAAATGGCAGCAGATCATTTACCAAATTTGCTTGCGAAGGGAAAGGGTCTGCAACTTGTGAATATAACGACAAACTGGTTTGGTACCTCTACTGGAAACACACGGAATAACATACAGAGATCATCATCTATTTCTTATGTTTTCGCCTTTAAAGGGCATGTGGCACCTTGTGTTTCAGTTTACAGCAAGACTGCCATATCTGCGCATGCCGCCTCAGCGAATCCTATTTCAGCAAATCCCTAGTTAGTCGCCCTTTTCGACATACTTGCTTGGGTTAATGAATCCATTCTTTTACCCTCACAATGGTGCACATGCACCCACACGAGAAAGTCCGGGTTTAATCCAGAATGGGGAAGGGGAAGGAATGGCAGTGAGTGACGGGTGATCTGTAAGTGAACACTTGATACCACAACAGTGGTAGTGAGTGTGGGATGAGCTTTACGCATAAAGAATCATTAAAAAAGAAAATTTAGCTTAATCGTTAAACCTTAAAAAAAAAATAGATTGGTAGTTAAAATATACATCGCACAGAATTACAATAGCCCGTGCAACTATTCGAGCGTTGAGCTGCAAACGGTTTCTGACCACGACTTTTAATGACAAAATTGGAAGTTAAACACTGTTCCCTATGTATTCTCTGTGTGTGTTCCCATTGTTGAGGACAAAAATAATAGATCCACTGCCTCCCCCCTCCCTTCCTCCCCCCAACAAGCATGTCGTAAGAGTTTACTATTTAGGAATGTTTTATTCAAAGTGGGAGTGCATCTGCCTGAGAGGCAAGAAACCAACAGTCTGCGTACAAATAAGCCAGATCTGTAAAACTGACGTGTGCGCAAAACACAAGTTTTGGAACAAGACTAAAGTTCAGAGGCAGACAAACAAACAGAAATATTTGCAGAAAGTTTACAGCCAGTGAACGTGAAGAAGAACAAGAAGATTCCCTGCATATCAATGCATGGCTTCTCTCCCAGTGAAACACAGATTCTCAATCTATGCATATCAAGTATCTGCAGACGACTCCCCCCCCCCCCCCCTCAACCCCATTTCCCCCTTCCCCTCCCGCCACCCCAGGCTGCTTCCGGGCAGCAACAGAGTTAATCTTAAATGGGAGGGCAAATCCTAGTTATCTCCATTGAGTTAGCGGAGTATCTTTTACAGGATGTTGCCCAACCAACCGCAGAATTTTGTCGCTGTTCGGTTTTACAAAACAGTTTTAGGTTTAGTAGTTTTCCATTGCTACTGAGCTCTCTTTGCCATTGTCGAAATCAATGCAAAGCGGATGCTATGGATCTATGGCTGGCCCAGTACTGGGAAAAAGTGATGTTATCATTGCCGTGCGCTGAACTTACCTTACCGAGGAGCACGCCAAAGGGCATGACTCCATATCCCTGTCTAGACTGTTGGACACGGGGGTGCAGCCTGGAGCTGCAAGAAATGAACATTTAACTAAGGGGACAAGACGTTTTATTAACCAACACAGAACAGGCGTCATCAGTCGTTTTACACTTGTGGAGCTTTTGAGGAGAAGATCGGAGCACCTGTGGATCTGTCCAGAGTGCTGTGATGATATTCCTTTTGAATCAGTAATCACTAATACAAAGCGGAATGTTGCCTAATCGCCTGCGGCTGGAATTGAATCAGGTGCCTCAGAAACACCCTCCGTTCAACCAAGGTATACATAAGGGCACCAGCATGGTCTATACCTAGAGCTATCCTGGTGTCTGAGGCAGGTGAAGAATGAAAACTTGTGTAAAGCTGGTTGAACTTTTCTGGGACGAAGTATCTAAACCAGCCTGCACACTGACGTGTTTACCACTTTAAAAAGGTGGTTGACATGTTAGCTAAACTTCTATATCTATGCATACGGCCACAGCACGTCGGATTTTTAGCAAATCCTTCATAGTGTCCTTACAGCTCTGTTTGTTTAAATTGTAATATGTATACCACCCCCCCCCCCCCCACAGGACCCTTAAACCGCCCTTCTTTCTCCCCAAACAAGGCCCTGGAACCCACGCAGGAAAGGTGGCAGTATTTATTTCTACATTCATATTCCAATTGCAGTCTATTTTTTCACTCCCACTGTGTAAAATAATTACTGCTATTCTGACTTTGCTTTAGATCACAAGATGGCGAGGAAGGAAACGGTCTACTCTATCCCCATTACTGTGTGCCTAAATCTCTTAATACTTCACAACTGTCAGCACTAGGAACACGCAATTTAAAATCAGCCATGTGCACATGTAGATAATCTTCTACTTTTTAACATTTACCGGCTGTAAACTCCGGTGGAAAGTTTTGGTTATTCGTTCACTTGTGAACTTTGGTCTTGTTCCAGGGACTTGAGTTTTGCGGGTACATCCGTTTTACAGCTCTAGCTTAATCATATGCCAACTGATGGATGTCTCTCAGGCAGATGCACTCTGACAGAAGAAAAAAACACCTTATTAGTTGCATTTTACGAAATGCGTGTTTGAGGCAGTAGGTCTATTACACCCCCCTCCCCCGCCCAATGGGGCCCTAGAACCCACATTTGTACAAACATATCTAACCACTGACATATATTTTATAATTTTTTAGAAACTAAAAAAGAATGCAATTGGTATTATCCTCATTTTACTCTGTTTTAGTGTTAATGTTGGGAGAGGTTTCAACTTCACTGTAGTCAGGTCACTCCATACTTGCTCTATTCCTATGCCAGTGAAAATCAGTTGAAGTGTCCCTCACTGTCACATTTGAAAAACTGGTGAACAAACAATTAATCCTGGCACAATTCAAAAATATGCTCATGCAGTAAATTCATATGGCAGTTGCTAGAGGTGCCGAAGCCGACAGTTGCCACCAGAAATGCATTTTGTTGCTGATGAAAGTAGTTGGGCACGATAAGTTGGCTATACACACGTAGAAATAATACAGGTATTTCATCAGTTTAAAATTCACTGAACACTTCTATCTGTATTAAAGAATCAGTTCAGCAATCCACTGAACTAATTGCTGAATCTTTTGAGACATTGACAGAGGTGGAGATCACCGGAGATGTGGAGTTGGAAAGGCGGGGAGGGTATGGGCAGGGGTCGAGAAGGTAGAGTTACCCGGCTACCTACGCCATAAATGCAAGGTCTCTGACACCCCACATTCTTATCGGCGACCCGGTTGTCAATTGGCTCGCAGAGTCACTTTTGTTTTTGACGTCTGTGAAGGATTCCAGAACAGACAGGAAACTATGGCGGTAGGACTGGATCTCGAGGATGCTTATAACAGAGTGAGATACGACATCTTAATGGCTGCACTGAGGGAGAAGGAGGTCAATCCATGGCTGGTGAACTGGGTTGCAGCTGTCCTGTATTCACGTCGGGTCGCTCTCCGACTGGGCTCATGGACCTCTGAACCATGCACTTTGGCCCCAGGACTGCCACAGGGATCCGCCATCTCGCCTGTGCTCTTCAACGTGTATACGAGCAAGATTGCAAGCCTAGAAGCACCAGGAGTTGGAAGGATACTGACTTTTGCGGATGATATACTTGCATATATTCAGGGGGAAGAGAGAGAACAAACAGCTCGGGAGCTACAAGCGACAGTAAACAAAATGGTGTACAGAAATGAGATCTGTCGTCCATCCGGAAAAGGCGTCTGTTTTGTGGTGTTCTTTGGACAACAGAATCGTTAAAACTAATGTCCCAATGGGACTACGATAGATGGTAAAGACGTCAACAGAGAGAGCAAACTGAAGTATCTAGGAATTACATTTGACAGGAGCCTGTCATTTAAGGACCACATGGAGAGTGTTGTGACGAGATGCCAAAAAGGACTTAGTGCACTTAAGACTATGGCTGCAATTGACATAGAGCAGAGAATGCTTTTCACACTATATCAGCACCTGATCCTGTCAGTGGTGGATTATGACTTGGGACTGCTTACGGTCTCAAAGAGTAACATACAGAACGCGGCTATGCGGGTCATTCTGGGTTGTACCAGAGACATCCCAGTGGTGTGTATGCGATACATCCTTGGTTTACCGACGGTTGCAGGTCGGCACAAGGTGCTGCAGGCAAAGTCATATCTCAGGGTAGCTGCACACACAGACCACCCTCTTCATGAAGCTCTGGGTGCAGTTAAGGGTCAGCGGCTGATAAGAGGGAGGTCATGGATGGCTCAGGCAGAAGACACAATCAAACAGGTTTGCATCCTTGAGAACATTAGGCGAGGAGAGGAGTGGGTCAAAGTGCCACCTGAGCAGTCAGACCTGTGTAGAGTAATAATCACACTGAGCCGGGAATGCAGACTGGTCAGCAGGTGCCACAGAGGTGGAAATTCAGCAATTAATTCAAGATAATGCTCACTCAGAGGATTTGATCATTTACACAGATGGTTCAGTGTTAAGAGGTAAAAGAAGTGCTTGGGACTTCTTAGCAAAAGTTAATGGTCGACGTTTGGTGCAGGAGAGCCTAGCATATAATACAACAACATCAAGCTTAAAAATGGAGGTGGAGGCTTTCCGCTGGCCAGAGAACACGACACACACACACATCGTGATTGTAGCTGATTCAGAAAGCATGCTGAGGAAGATCAGAACAGGTATGCTTTGTGCAGAGTGGCATGCTTCGCTGCGGAGGACACGAGTGAGGAGTATTGTCTGGATTTTTTCACCGGGTAACGCCAGTGTGTTGGGAAATGAACAGGCGGACAGACTGGCTGGCTCTGCACAACTTGGTGGAATACTGCTACATGATAGGGCAGATGGATGTGGTTAGTGCCTTGTGGGAGAGCGTGTACAATTCGGATTAGCAGATGGATCACCACAGTCTGGTGAGATTGATGCAGTTGGGGGTGACGAGAGGTTCTGGCAGAAGCTTGAGGCTCAGAGGAAAGGCAAGACGGACGTTTAATCAGAAAGCTACTGGCACCATTAGTATCGGAACTCTTCGCTGGCTGCGGAAGATGGGGACGGAGTGCTTATGGGAATGCCCCGAGTGCTGTGATGTCGGTTCTTGAATCAAATCAAATCAAATCATGGCTCGCAGATAGACGACTTCTCCGGCGGTCGGGACAGTATTTGTGCCTGTCTCCTTTGATCGCATCAACCCTGCAGGGATCCTTTTCATAGCTCTTGATGGCGTGCAATGCTAAACTATTTTTATATGGCGCACATAACCTAGACACACTTATAACCTAAAGCTCCCCTCCCCCACATTTGGAAATGCAGGCTGAATGTGACGATTTTTTTTTTTTCATGCAAAGTACCTGTCCACCTACCCCATATTCTGCTAAACGTACACGTCACTACCCTGTTTTTATTGCATCACTTAGATCATCTTGAAACTCTTTGTGTCCACAGTTGCCGTCCAACCTGTGAGATACAAGTTACGCAACTACTGCGTTGATGACGATGAGTGGCTCTGATATTCCTGTCTTAGGACCATTTCTTGTTCATTTATGTTCGTCTCAAGAGTTCATAGACCAGATTAAAATCCTTATATCCAACAATATTGTTTAAAGTTTTTTCAACACATTCAGACCCCAAGTGGAAGCCACCGTGCTCTAAGGGCTACATGCTCGCCTACTGTTTGAAAGGTCGTGGGTTCACTTCCTGAGAGAGTCCGAACTTTTTTTTCCCTTTTTCAAAAATGACTTTGGCTCTCAGGTCAACCCATACTTGAGTGGGTACCAGGTACAGTACTGGGAAGTAAAGGCGGCCGGCTTGATGCTGCCCATATCATCCACCAAGTGCAATTTAGTATAAAAAATATAGGTCTAGCCCTATGTACCCAATACGCCTGAAAGCGTGGAAAGGGGTCCTTTACTTACTTTACTTCAGATCCCAAGTGTTTATTAAAAACCCAATACAATTCGTCACGTTGACAACTTGTCCCCAAATGGAGCAGGCGAAGCCAGCAAAGTTTCTAATCTGCAACATTTTTCTAAATTCAGCTGATTTCGTAACTAGTATTTCGGTTAGCCTCAAAATGGATAGCTAGCCCTGGGTTAAAAGTAGTAGTACTTTTACGCCACCAGGACAGCACACAAGCGATAAACACCTGATGACACAAAGTGCCACCACGCGGATGAGTATCACCCGTGGAGAGGTCCCGGAAATCGCATTCAGCCACCAGACCATATTTATGGCCGGGCTATATTGCGGCCCCCGGCAAGAGCCACGGTAGGGCTTTAAAATTACAAAAAATTGCACCCCACAAGGAGATGACTAGTTGTAGCATAAACAAATTAACGATCTAACTGGAAGGAAGATACGAATAAACACAGAATGTCTGAAATCAAAAGCAGGAGAGATCTTAATGGATGAAGATGATATAACTAGATGGAATAAATACATTTATCTGCTTCTCACCTATTTTGTCTCCAAGAAAGATCTGACTGAATGGCAAAGGTATTTTACATAAAAATACGTGTTCATCGTTTGAAATGCTGCTTTTATGTTGGCTAATGCACACAATCTATTTAAAGTGCAAAAATGTAGAATATTAAAGGGAAGCAATTTAGTATCTTTTTTAACAAAGAGAAATAACTCCTAGCAGAATACTAGAAACATCTGCTTCTGTGTTCTGACAGCGGAAACGCAAGACTCTAATTTACGAATGTACAATTTTTATTAAAATTATTACTTTTAATAAAAACTGTATAATTCATGCAAGAACTTAGGGAACAATGAATAACTAATTTGGTGCATTCAATATAACGACACTTTAAAAATCTTGCTTTAGTTGGCGCCTGGGGCAAAATTTGCACATCTGAAATGCATACTTACCTGGCACAGGAGCTACGATGATCATCAAGGTCGTGCTCCCAGGAAGAGGCCCTTCCATTGCACTTCGGTTGGGTTGACGCCTGCGATCACCCCAAATGTGGGTGACTCGAGTGCGTAATTTTTTCGTAAGGGGGACTGCGTTCGCGCTATCCCCTCTAAATAAAAGCAAAGGAAAATTAGTTGGAGTGAGATGTCAGTTTCAGAAGCATGTGAGAGCATAAAGTGGTGAGTACGACAAGGTTGTGTACCATCACTTGGTTTGCTTTTATAATACAGTGAATATATAATAAGATCAATCAAGGATATGCCCGGACCTGTAGATGGTGGTCTTAATATGAACAACATGCGTTATACAGATGACACTGTCTTGATTGCGACAAGTCAGTAAAAAAAACTACAGGAATTGTTTAAAATGCCGTGGTGGTAAAATGGCCCTCAGTTTGAAAAATGGGATGACAAAAGTAATGGTGATTTCCAAGAAAAAAATGTTTTCTTAGATGTATAATAAAAGTCAAAGACATTATTTTGGGACAGAATAAACGGCTGTGAATCCTGGACAGTTAACAAACATATTGAGGCCTCAAAGATGTGGTTTTACAGAAAAATCGTTAGAATTCATTGTACTTGTCGCCAACCTCCATGGGTGAATACACTTATACAGTGAGTGTGTGGGTTTGAACCCTAACAGTGCCCACCCACGTGAGAAATTTGACTAATATTTAAGAGCTGTGTTGATCCCAGACAGTCCTAGATAACAAAGAAAATAGCGAGTGGCTCGTTCCATAAAATGAAAGTAGCTGTACTTGTATCCACACGAATAGGAGAAGGTGTAGATAGATATCAAGACGAACCCAATGAAATAATATTAAGATACACAGTTAACCCCTCTGACTTTCTCCTCTTCTGGCATTAATTTGTAACGAAAGCTCCCATCAAGTGATTTACATTTTTGTGAGCTGAAGTAAACTTCAGAAATAAAAAAAATCTTCTAAGAAAAATCAGTATGTAAAATCAGTATGTACAAGATTGCTGTATTAAAATAGAGCAGCATCATAAAAATGGAAGAGATTACGAAATGTTCAAGGAAATGAAGTTATTGACAAGAAATTTTCAACCTCAGTTAGATGTTATTTGTGACAGGATGGGAAATACTTTAACAGAATCTAGACAAATTCTAGGAAGATATCAGGAATACTGCAGCGGAATGTATGATATGAATGACAGTGAGGATATAAATGATATACATGAACCAGTAACAGTAGAGGCAGAACCTGAACCTTCATTAGATGAAATTTCATGGGCAATAAGGAGCCTGAAAAATGGTAAATCACCTGGATGTGATGAGATACCAGCTGAATTGATTAAAGCGGGAGGAGAAGAAAGCATAAAAATCTATCATGCAATAAGTGAAAAGATATGGAAATATGGTATTTGGCCAAAAGACTGGAAGAGAACTATCTTCATTCCAATACCAAAAAAGGGTGACCTGAAATTATGTACAAACTATCGAACTATTGCCCTGATCAGTCATGCAAGTAAAATTCTACTAAAAATTATAATGAGAAGACTGCATAAGAAAATGGAAGAAGAGATTAATGTAGCTCAGGCTGGATTTAGACAGGGAAGAGGAACAAGAGATCATATATTCAACATGCGTTTAATAATAGAGAAGTGTAGAGAATTTAATGTAAATCTGTTCTTATGTTTTGTGGATTATTCAAAAGCATTTGACTGTGTACAACATCAGAAGCTTTGGAAAATCATGAGGAATATGGGCTTTCCATCACTTATAGTGCAGCTCATTAAAATGCTCTATCAAGACCAACAAGCAGCAGTCAGAATAGATGGAGAGACATCAGACTGGTTTGGCATCAAGCAAGGAGTCCGTCAGGGATGTGTGCTGTCACCGTATTTGTTCAACCTGTACGCCGAAAATATAATGAGAAATGTAAGAGATGATATAAACAAGGAACAATATGATGCCCTAAACATCGGTGGTCATGAAATACCAGAAATTCGTTATGCTGATGATACAGTATTACTATCAACATCACAAAATGGTTAAGAAAACTTATTAACCTCACTCCAAAGAAATAGTAAAAATCATAACTTATTTCTTAACATAGCAAAAACAAAGATAATGCATACAAATAAAACTGCCATGGAGAAGGAAATATATGTTAATGAGGAAAGATTGGAAGTGGTGGAAAATTTCGAATATCTTGGGTCACTGGTTACCAACAATGGTGACACAATGAAAGAAATTAAACGGCGACTATCAATTGCTCTTCAAAGACTAAAACAACTGAATAAATTATGGAATTGTACAGATAGAACTACAAAGGTCAGATTTTTAAGAGCATGCATCTTTCCCATTGCAACATACGCCTGTGAGACCTGGACACTTACTAAACAAGCGGAACAGCGCATAAATGCATTTGAATATAAATGTTACAGACAGGTTCTAAGAATATCTTGGGTAAAGAAAAGAACAAATGCATCCATACTTCAAGAGCTGAATATTGAAGAGGGTTGGCTAGTAAAGACAATAAAACAAAAAAAAATTGAAATATTTTGGTCACTTGAAACGTCATGGAAGTCTAGAGAGAACAATAATGGAGGGGTATATGCCTGGGAAGAGAGGAAGAGGAAGGCCAAGGAGAAGATGGGTGCAGGATGTGGCAGATGATCTCCAGATGGGTGTATCAGACGCAGGACATCTTGCTCAGGATAGGAAGGTTTTCCGGAGGGTTGTTATGGCAGCGAGGTTCCGCGAGGGACATGCTACTGAATGAATGAATGAATGAATGAATGAATGAATGAATGAATGAATGAATGAATGAATGAATGAATGAATGAATGAATGAATGAATGAAGTAAACTTGAACCTAAGTACACAATTTACTCAACTATTTTATAACAACATGACAAGATTTTATTGAATAGATCTAACTAAAATTAAAATGAACGTGAATAGGCTAGTAGAGTGAAGATGGTGTTACTGATGGAATTATTTCACATAAAAGTTACACATAACTCATAAAACTGGAGAAAATAAACCTTAGGCAGTTCTCAATTTGAGACCCTGCCTATCCTTTTCCATTTTGTCGTCCTCGCTGCATCAAGCAGGTCGTTACACTCAGACGGTCGTCAAAGAATGGATGCCGACTTGTACCTGCCTAGTGTGGGAACTGTGGTTAAAAAAAACAAGCGCATATGTGTAGTATCTAGACCTTCAACAAACATGTCTATTCTGCTAAACATTTCATCTCTTCCTCATATTCACATACTCTATTGTCCAGTCTGGAAGCACTTCGTCTCCCATTGTAGTCGTTACATTTCCTGCCTTCCTCTACTCACGTCCTGTGATGATTGTAGAGTCTTCAATGTCCGTTGTCATCTATCATGCAGACTCAAAATGGCAATCTGCTTGACGGAACGAGTTCTAGAATTAATGCTTGGAAAAATAGGCGCGTCCAGAATGATAACAATATTTCTTGGGCGATATCAAATAACAAATCTCAAGGATTTACTCTCCGGGATCAATCTCCTCATTAGCCTCCCGGGAGTTAAACACATTTCAGTGTATAAGCTGTATATAACACAGATTCAAATTAGCCACACGTGAAAAGATTGC